GATGTTTAACTGCTGAACAAAGTTCAAATTGATTCTCCTCAGCGGATACCTTCTATATATGGAGATGGCAACGTAACCTCACATGCTGGATCAAGCCTAGCTCCTGAGGTGTGACTCCGGATCACACAGTCCAGAGTGATGTCGGCGTCCGCCACCTAGCCGAGACTGTAAACTCAATAGTAGGAAGAAATCCTTGAGAGGTAATGAGTTTGGCTGCATTCCGCTGACAAGTCTGTCATTTTAGGTATACTAGGATGTGAATCATTGGGGGGCTGTGACGATCCTCAGCCAGCCCCATTAAGTTCCCTGCCAAAGTGTGAACTGGAGTGCGGAGGGCTGCAGTACCTTAGGTGTATGCAGATTTTCATGATGTGTGCTTTAGGCATCACAAGACTTGCTGTGGTTTTGGGCAAAAGGGAAGCCAAGTCGTCCACTAAGATTTCGAGGTACACCACGTTGAAGATGTATCAGATACTAGTAATTATTACGGAGAATATCTGTTACATTTGGTGTAGGCCGTGATGATACTTTGGACCAAGATATCTGGGAAAATCTTGTGAAACGAAGAAACGCGTCGTTTCGAGCAATAACTCCTGAGTATACTAGCCTTAGCTGAAGCTGCCATGGAAATCGGTGAGACTAGTCAACGGCGCGAGGAGCGCCTCATTTACCACCACTGCTTACCTAGAGAAAAGAGTTGCGATTTGCATGAAAGAGGCTGGCTGAACGCCTCACCACCATTCTTAATCATATTCAAGACAAATATGTGATATCACGGCTAACAGCTGAGTAGCAGGTCGATCAGTAAGTTCGATGGTTTCCAGTTCCGTCAGAGTGGCGTCTTCTCAAACTACATAAAAGGCCCATTAACTCCATCCCGTCGTCACACTTCTTCCTTATCACCACCAGTTTCCAATCAGTATCAATTCGCAGCTCTTAACGCACGCAAGCTTTCACCTTGAAAATCATTACTCTTATTGGTCGACCGTTTGGAGTTCTGAACTGTCTCTCGTTCCCGACGATCTTTGCCCAGCAACACCCAGTAAAACAGTAACTCAATTAAAGAACGAAAAAATGTCTTACAACGCCTCTTCAACCGCCAACGGCAGCGCTCCTCGCGCTGCGGTCTGGAGCTTGAAGTCCTCCAACCCTGACCTCCCGGCTGAGTCAGCCATCTTGCCCGACGACGGCAGCAATGGCACTGAGTCCGTCTTTGACGATGACAAGCGCCGTCGCGTCGAGCCTCAAAGCTTTGCCGATGGTGGCAAGTTCCGATGTGAGTTCTGCTTCCAACACAGCAACCCCCGAGCAGCTTCCCTTCAGACGTCCCACGTACTGACATCATCAAGCTGTCGTCAAGATCCAAGCTTGTTTCAACAAAGGCAGCGGCAGCGTCTGGATGATGGGTTCTGGCTGGCTCATCAGCCCTGATACCGTTGTCACTGCCGGCCACGTCGTCTATGACTGGGGCCACCGTCTCCAGAGCGCTACTGAGATCAAGTGCTATATCGGCTACTCTGGTCGTGCCTCCGTCGGCACTCCTAACGTTCAAGCTCGCTTCGGCGAGCGCATCATCACCACTGCCGAGTGGATTGAAGCGGCAGGCAACCGGAGACATGATGTTGCCTTCATCAAGGTCAACCGGCCTTTCACCGGCAATCTTAGAAACATCCCCTTCAAGGAGACCCCGTTGTTCGCCGGAAACGCCAACATTGGTGTTGTTGGGTATCCTGGAGACAAGTATCTTGAGGGCCAGAACGGAGGGAGCGGAGAGAAGGGTGCTCAGATGTACGAGGAGTTCGCGCCTACCGAGTACGACCTCAAGAAGAGCGAGCGCCACATGATTGAGTACCAGGTCTCGACTTTCGCTGGTAAGTTCATAAAGAGACTCTTCTGTTTCTATGATAGAATGCTGACAGACGCATGAAAATAGGTCAATCTGGTGCTCCCATCTTCCAGGTTGAGAACAACGCCTTAGTGTCCATTGGTACTCACTGCTACGGTGGTGGTGGTGACGAGAGCAACTCTGGCAACTCCATCGGCGGTCCTTACGGTAACAACTACCATGCCTTCCTCAATCTCTTCGACAGCCCCCAGTTCCCCCAGGTACAGCGTCAAGGCATTAAGGTTCTCACAGCCGATGCCCATGCTCGCCCTAACAGCAACGTCGGCGCTTCCAATGGGGCGCCCAGTAACGGGCAGGTCAAGACCGGTAGTGCCCCCTATTCCAACGGTCACAGCAACGGTACCACGTACAACAGTAACAACAACAAGTATGCCAACGGTGCTACCAATGGAAACAGCAACGGCTACAACGGCTTTCGCCCGGAGAGCGTGGCTTCTCCCGCAATGCCGACCCATTACAACACAGGCACGGGTCTTCAGGAAAGTTCGGATGAGGAGGGCTTCTTCGATATCATCAGGTCGATCGCCAAAGTCGCAGGACCTGTCGTCTCAACAGTCACTCCTTTCCTTGGACCCATTGGTGGACCCATCGGTGCCATCGCCGGCGGCATCCTTTCGACTGTCGGAGGTGCGGAGAGCGCCCTCGAGGACGGGAACGCGCCTGGCGTGGTCGAGACTGCGATCAACTCGGGCGCCACCGAGCGTGCGGTGCTCGCCGAGGCATCGCTTCAAGCCCTACTGAAGGTCGAGGATAGCCCCGAGACTGCAGAGATTCTCCACACCATCAACTCCAAGTACAACGCCTTCAGACCCAAGTTGGATGCCATCGCCAAGGTAGCCCAGCCCCAGCTCACGGAGGCTGGACTTCACTTGGCTCATCTTCAGATGGCCAAGATGCAAGAGCGAGCGACGTCTGGATTCCAGGAGTCAGAAATTGAACTCCCTCGTACGCAGCTCAGAGGCCTCCAAGTGTCTTCGTACAACCAGCAGGGCCCGCAGGGAGCCTTTGTCCAGGGCCTCTTGGCGCCTACTCGTCCCGTCTCTGGCGAAGAGGGCTTCTTTGATTCCCTCGGCTCTGTCCTCGGCAAGGGCATTGGCTTCGCGAAGCCGTTCATCGCGAGTGCCGCGCAAGGGGCACTCAGCGGCGTTATCGGCCGCCTCAGCGGTGGCGCAGAGTCTTCCTTCGACACCCCCGCTGTCGGCACTCACGAGTATGCCACTCGTCTCGCATTCAAGCGTGCGGCTGCCGCAGAAGCTGCCCTGCAGACTCTCATGGAACTCCCTAAGGAGAAACTCGACCGTCTTCGCATCAACGAGCCCCAGAATGGCGAGGAGGGCTTCTTCGACGTCATTAAGGCCGGCGTCCAGAAGATTGCTCCCTCCGTGCTAGACATCGCTAAGACTGCCGTACGCAAGGTCGTCCCTATCATCGTCGACGCTGCTTCCCAGAAGATCAAGAACACTGTTGGAGCGGAGAGCGTAGCCTCGGCTCCCCGGAATAACTTCAACACTACCAACGTCATTCGAACCAAGAAGTCCGTCGCAGACATGCTCACCACGTCGGCTCAGGCCTACAAGGGATCGAAGGTGAGCAACAACCCCGATGATTTCAACGCTGTGAACGCTACTCTCGAGGACATCCTCAAGTCCCGTGAGACTGCATGGGTGCCTTCGCTCCATAAGCGCAAGTCCTGGGACTCGAACGATGATGGCCTCTGCATGATGGACGACGAAGATTTTTGATTTGACGCGTTGATAATAATGTGCTAATCCGCTCTGACTAATGACAGGTCATTTCCTCGTACTGAGGATGAGGGAGTTGGACACTCTTTAGCGACTGTGGCAGAGGCTCCGACTTATGATGTCAACATTGGCAGGGGCTGGATTCTTGGCATTAGTGTCTTTTCGATTCGACTTCGCGAGTCTGAAATATCTACCGTCATTCAAGGCTGTGGTTTCCTACTCGGTTTGATTTGTTTCGACTTTTGTGTGTTTGTCCCTGTACTTGGCCTTTGTGTCTGATGTCTCGATTGCAGGAATGGGCTGTTGACCTCGGGCTATGGCAGCGCTTATTGTACTCTGAGCTTTCGATTCTTCCCCATTCCAAACTCAGCCAATTTTAACCCTCTTGAATGCGCCCACTTTCCACTCCATATGAAGCGTGACTGCTTCTGAGACGTCTTTGAGGGAGCAGATCGATTGTCTATAGGATTTTGACTGTCTTCTCGGAATTTAACGTTGTCGAGGGAGCTGCGATTCGTCCACCTTCTACAAGTATTACTTCTGTTGGTATCCCTATCACAGGGTACTTGGTTCGAACCGTGGGTTGACGAAGAGATCAAATTGATATATATTAAGTTCTGCGTAAGGTGTAAAAGGGAGGTTTCAACCGTAGGTTGGGCAGACCGTGGATCTCGTAAGTGCGGTCTGGAGGTGGCCCCTGCGCGGGCCCCTTGCCTCGAGGTCGAATTGGACTTCCAATCCGACAACTTCCTCGAATCGGTTGCCGGAGTACTCGATGCGTTTCCATGTCTTTAACCTGCTCTGGATCGCGTCCAATCTCCCAGACACGTATCCTTCTATAGTATCGATTTTCATCGTATGAACAGTAATCCCCGAATCCGCTGCCTCCATTGTAACAGAGCCATGGGCCGCGCTTGACCGATTTGTTGTCGTCTCCCGCCGACTAACCTCGCTCTGATCGCGGTAGGACAGCGCAAAAATCGTTGACATGATCGTGGCCACAGCCCATCGCAGATACTTCCTTTTCTACCAGAGCATCATAGAGATGGGTGTTGAAGCCGGGGCCTTCGGTTGGTTCCCTCCGCTTACCACCGCTTATCGACAGACTATCTCCTGCGTACCTATTCGGGGAAGGGGATATGCATGAAAGCCAAAGAAATATGATGAAAGCCACTGGTACCCTCTGCCACCCGATTCTTTCTTAAGTTCTGTGAAATAGACTCACACCAATCGATTTGGTTTTGCTGGATCGGATCGTAGTCGGGATTCTTGACAGCGCTCGTAATTTGCCCATGTGAGGGAAAGAAGAACAGTGTCGCTACTGGAACCTGCTTTATGTCGCTGGAGAAGAGTTAGAGATAATAGTTGCCCACGCTGTCGATTGACGTGAGGCCAGGCTCCGCTAAACAGCATGGAAGATCTTGCAATATTGACATTTGTTTTTCGCCTACAGCAACAATTGTTAGCAAGTATAATTGGGCGGATAAGAACTTTACAACACTTACGCGATAATGCGTGAATACCCTCATCATCGTGATTCCAAAAAATAACCGCGAAAGGAATTGATCGACTGATCAAAAGTGACACAACCTTGAATAGAGGGGTTTGTGTATTTGAAACACCGTGGTGTACTTGATCTCCGCTGAGTATCACTAAGTCGGGCTTCTCAACGTCCAGTATATCCCCGAAAAACTGGATCGTGTTTGGATCAGCTTCAGAAATGGGCAAAGGCCGACGATCTGCGTCGATGGCATCGTTGCAAACCCCAGAACCGGTGACCATGTGCGTGTCAGATATCTGGACGATCTTCAATTTCCCGTCTTTATGAACTCTCAAGGTTGCTTTTATGGCGCCGGGTCTATGTAATGGACGGCTGTATCGCGCCGAAATTCTTGGTGCGGGCACGTCCGGTTGATCGTCAAGTTGGAGAGGTGCTCTCAGCAGTGTCCAACCTGGTCGTGAGTCGATAGCATCCTTGCCGAAAAGAACGTGAATACCTGTCAAGATCCTCAAATCATGGTCAGTGAAATGAGTCTTCAGGATCCAAATGCCGCAAGGCCGTTCTTCCCAGCTGTCTTCAGCGTTGGTAGTGGGCTTTGTTGCGCACCCAGATATCCGTGACGACACGATTGCCGTTGGTGATATCGACCTCGTTCCTTTCTTCAAGGTACATCCATGCTGTCTGCTTGCCCGCCTGAAGGTAGAGATCCTTTTCGGGGCGATTCCATGTCTGTTGCTCCAGAGAACAGGCGGCAGAGGCGCCAGATGAAGCGCAAAAAGTGACAGATAAATCGGGTATCACGGTGTTGATTTGCTTCATTTTTAATGTGGTCGGATGATGTCAAGCTTCAACCGAGTGCCTTGCCGTTGAGCTAGAAATAAACGTGCAAAAGGAATAAAAAGATTGCTGGGCAAGCAAGTGTCATCATGGTGAGGTGATTGCCTGGTTCCGATATCATGTGACCAAAACAACTCCCCGTCCTTGAATTGGTGAACGAACTCCAAGAGGCTGGTTGCTATTTCATCTCTTAAATAACACTAGCCAAGCAAACCCGAACCATTGTGTCACCACCACCAATCTGACTCAAAGCTCCGAATGCTTCATTGGTACCCTACCAGATTTTCCTTCGACCGGGAGAATTCTCTGGAGGGCACGGCACCAAGCAACAATTTGGGTGAGTTGGAGGAGGGAAAATCCGCTTGCTCCAATGATAGATCGCAAGTGACATTGCAGCTCTTCGGCCCTGCCCCTGTTCGCAAGGGCACCAGGCAAGGCGATGAGGATGGGCCCCACGGTCTGTTTTTCTTCTGTCAAGTCTGCTCCAGATGAGTTTGAAACTCGCAGATATCAAAAGACTGACAGTTCTTCAGTCAACTGCCTCTACAATCTAACATGTCTATGGTGCAGCCCGAGAAAATGGGTGTCCTGAACAATATCAAGAGGAGACTGTTCCACCTGGCAGCTTTACATGGAAGCACAGAGGCGATGGATACCCTGGCATCGGCCAATCTCGGTGGCGTCGACAACGATCAGAGACAAAGATGGGCACACTCCCAGCGAGTGCTTCATCAGATGTCGCAACGATCACTGCGCCGTTGCTCGCAAACCTTTGGATACCGAGAGAAGTTCATGGGTCGCGCTGATGAACTCTGCACATAGGCAGAAATTGTCGTCCCAGGATGTGACGGGACAGTACGCCGACGATGAATCGACGATAGTTGCATCTGAGGACGAGTGGGGCTATAGGAAGGAATTTACAAGTCTTGTATCAGTTGACTTGAGTGACGACGAAGCATCATCCGACGATAACTTTGTGGATGCGAAGGACGGGGAGTAGATTTCAAGGCTGGGAGTTCCCACTCAGAGCAGCTACGGAGTACACTCAATGCCGATCGCTGAGATTCTACTCCGTACTCGTGCCCAATTCTGCTCGATGACAGGGGCCACAGCCGTCCCATAGAAGTAATTTCAGGTGGGATCAGCAAAACCCACAGGTACGCTTGGAGTCTCATGAGTCCCTTGCAGCCCTGTGAGTGACCCCAGCCTCTTTTTTCCCGAGTCATTAGCGCTTTGCAAAATCATGATCGGCGTTCGATCACTTTGATGGTGGTGTAGTTTGGCTCTTAAAACGAGAATTATTTCAAAATGTCTATAGTTTCCCTCTCATAAACACCCGCTCGGATAGCGCATTCTAGAGTTCGCTACCGATGAACCCTTCCCGGTTTTTGTAGATTGTTCATTGGCACGAGATCCGCCTCGTCGCTATCACTGTATGACACCGTAAACGTCTTCTGGAACTTGATCTGCCGATCATGTGCATCGTGAACGGAGTTGGAGCGGTCCACAGTGACCACGCCAACAGTCCGAGCCTGGCTGCGTTGAGCGGCATTCTTAGACCTTATGTCGCTCCCGTACTGCTGATAATACTGTCGTCCCTTGCTACGAAGCGTTGAGCCGGACATGGCTGGGAAGATCTTGACCAAGATCATGCGGATAGACGGCAAGCACGCACACATGATGCCTACGCAGATCTCAATTGTACTCCACACGCTAACGTCGATAAAGTCCATGGTAGCGTTGGATCCCTTTGCAAAGTCGACAAGGGATTGCAAGCGGATGATGCTCACGACGGTGACACTGATGCGACGTTAGTTTTCTGTTGTTTTGCCCCGAAGAGACAGCTCAAGACCCAATAACCCAGATCTTGGTAGTGCGCGAGTCAAGAAACTTACAAGGTGCCCACGATGAACATCAACGCGACTCCAACCTTCTTCTTCCAGTGCAGTCGCAAAGTTCTCAGTTGCCAAAGTGGAATCGCGAGCATCCATAAATCCAGCGCGATGCTGATTGCGGCGTTAGACCAACTGATGGCGTTGGCGTCGGCGCAGCTGCCCTCGTGCATGCGATCCCACTTGACCCAGAAGTAGTGAATCGGTTTGCACTGGAAGACAGCTGTGACAACGAACGCCAGTCCCCAGACGATGATGAAAATTGTCGTCGCCCACAAAACGCGCTGAACTTCACGCGCGGGGAAGATGCGCATGTAGAAGAATATGATAGCCAGTTTGACCAGGGTCACCTGGAAGAAGTACAGCCAGGCCATGATGTAGAAGTAAAAGAGGACATTGGTGATTTGCTGAGGCGTCAGCGTCCAAATATCTCTTCCCAGGCCGTTGGCAGTGGTTCCGTGGACGGTGATGACGGCGCTTGGCATGGCTGCGATCAACGTCGCCATGACGAACCAATCATCCCAGCCGATATCGAGCCCCGCGAGAAAGATCTTGTATCCGAACCGGCTGAGCACGCATACCGCTGCTAGGATGGCCATGACGTTGGAAAGGACGACATATTCGCCAGATCGGTTGCGCACGGGAGCGCCGCAGTTCGTCAAGCTCGCATTTTTCGTGGCTGCGCGGACTTGATGTCAGCCATGATGGCATTCATGGGCGGAAGAGAGAGGATAATGGTAACATACCGAGAGCTTCGGGTATCGTGCAACTTGCTGAGACACACAGAGTGACGTTGAGCTGGAACTGCTCGTTCGTGCAGATGCAAGTCTGGTTTGTGGGAGCACAATAGCCGCCACCAAAAGCGCTAGCGATGCATTTTGTCTGTGGGAAAAGGCCCAGCCATTAGCCCACGTTTCTCCAACGGCTTTCCCAACGGCGCCCGAGATGTCATAACGATCCAGGGGAGAGGGAAATGAACTTACAGCGCATGCCGGGTAACTGGGCTTGGTAGCAGAAACCGTCGTCTCCTGCGCCTGTACGGCGACGATGATGCCAAGGACCAACGCCAACACGAGGCGGAAGAAGGATGCCATTGTTGTTCACGGGCGGGCAAGGGCAGCAGCAGTTCCGTCTTGGAGGATTCCCAGAGATCCGGAAGATCTTCTCTTCATAAATGAAATCGGACGGGCTTCTTGCATAGATTACATTCCTGGTCCTCCATGTGGCAGACCGGCCACCCAGGTTTGGTTCATCGCCAAGTCGCCAACTTTTGGCGAGGAATTCCCAAGGGCGCGCCATAACTGACCACTAGTCTCTTAGTCTACCAGCTTTTTGCTCCCTCCCTTCGCTTCGAGGGGACGATGATACGCTGTGCCTTTGGTCCAACACTTTCTGCGACACGAAGCGATGCAGCTACTTCGGAGCTCTTGTCTACGAAGTCCTTCTTCGAGACTAGGGTATGTTAGGGAAAGTTGATACTGCCCCCCTCTTTAGCTGGAACTTTTCCGAACTAGCCGTCTGGTTTTCTGGTTGGGCGGTTCTTGGCTTCTCCCAAACGGGAACCAACCCCGTCGTTCGCGCCCCCGGCCAAGCAGCCCCTCATGCCCCTGCAGGAAAGGAAAAAGGTGCAGCAATGCATCGAAATCACCGACGGCACAGCAGCGGCTGACGTCTGGGTCTCGGAAATTAGTCCCTTACTAGATCTCGGGTGAAGGAATCGTTGGAGAATATTCCTTCAGTGGCGCACTTTGACTCGGCATTGCGGTTCGGTAGCAGTGGCGTTTCTGCCTATTGCCGTGGCTTCTGTGTTAATTGCGACGAGAACGTTTGAAGCCGCCGTCTTGAAGCTAGAATGCAGGAGAAGTTCGTGTTGTCGTTTTAGTCTCTGTTTAATTCAACCTTAATCATTGGGACTTCATTTAGATCTGTGGGCTCAAGCTGGGGGAGACAACAACTAGTCGGCCCCCACGAACAGATTGACACTGGGCTTGTCGGGACCGTCTGGTGTCTCATCCGTTCTCTTCTCACCCCGGTTGACTTCGGCCCCACGGTTGCGCAGAAAGAATGCGGGTGCTCATCGGATGTCACACGCCTTAATAGGAAGTTCCATCATTCTTATGAAGGGGACCCCGAAAAAGCCCTGTCTCGGCCGACAAGGTTTCTTCTCGTCCGCGTACTCCAGACTGTCAGTCGGACCGGTTTGGGGCATTGCAGCCGTGAGTCTATCGATCTGGAGATTACCAACACAGTTGCAACACAGTTGCCACCTACGACTCTGGATAACACAATCGCATGCTGCCAATATTATCCGTATCGAGTTCGAAAGGAGGCGGAGTGTACATCCAACTCGAAAAGCCGAGGCCCTCGTGCTTCCAGGGGTAAAGCAGTTGGCATCCCGCATGATGGATGCGAGGGATATATGAGTTCCAGAACCAGTCACACTTTTCGTGGCTTGCACCTAATCTGTCACCCACCCCTCACTCTCTCTCATTCCTCCTCCTCACCCATCTCTAGGCCTTTTGACTGCTTGTCCAACTCAAGTCATCAACATGAGGCTCTCTTATCTGGCCGTAGCCACCGCCTTGGCTACCATCACAACAGCTGCAGCAACCCCCAAGCAGCAATGTCACTGTCTACCTGGAGACTCTTGTTGGCCCTCGGTCTCCACTTGGAACCTGCTCAACGCAACCGTTGGTGGCCGTCTGGTCGCCACCACGCCCATTGGATCGCCCTGCCATGATCCTACGTACGATGCCGCGGCTTGTGCTGCTCTGCAGTCATCCTGGACCAACCCCTTGACACAGTCAGTCCCCCCCGGGAGTTCCTTCTTCGGCTTACCCCCTCAACGAACCTGCTGACATGATGTTTTAGCATTCCCTCCTCGTCTTCTGTTATGCAATCCTACTTTGCCAACCAGTCCTGCGACCCTTTCACTGACAGAGCTGTTCCTTGCACCCTCGGCAACTATGTGAGCTATGCTGTCGACGTCCGCTGCACCGCAGACGTCAGCTATGCTCTCAAGTTCGCCAAGGCCAACAACCTCAGAGTAGTTGTCCGTAACACTGGTCACGAGTGAGTAATTTGCGGTGGACTACAAGTTCCGTTCCACAGTAGTTGACAACTTTGTCTCTCTAGCTTCCTTGGACGTTCTACCGGTGCCGGTGCTCTTGCGATCTGGACCAACCACTTGAAGACTATTGACTTTTCAACATGGTCTGATAAGTACTACTCCGGCCCGGCCGTCAATGTCGGCGCCGGTGTCCTCGGTTACGAGATTCTTGAGGCTGCCCACGCAAAGGGTCTTACTGTTGTCTCTGGTGAATGCGCCACAGTTGGCCTTGCCGGCGGTTTTACACAGGGAGGTGGTCACTCTGCTCTCTCAACACAGTTCGGTCTCGGAGCCGATCAGACTCTGGCCTTCCAAGTCGTCACCGCTGACGGCAAGACTGTCGTCGCCTCTGCTACACAGAACACCGACCTGTACTGGGCTCTCAGCGGCGGTGGCGGCGGTACCTTCGGTGTTGTCACTGGCCTCACTGTTCGGGCCTACCAGGCCCAGACTGTTGGCGGTGCCGCTTTCCAGCTCCTCGCTGCGACGACCACGCCTGAGAAGTTCAACGCCGCTGTCTCCAAGTTCCACGAGCTGCTTCCCGCGATGACGGACCAGGGTGCTTTCGCCGTCTTCCTCCACAACGCCCAGTTCCTCGTCCTCCGCCCTCTGACTGTCTGGAACTCGACAGCTGCTCACGTTCGTGATGTCATCCTTGCGCCCTTCACCAAGGCCCTCGAGGAGGAGATTGGCATCACCCTGGCCGTCGCCTACAGCGAGCTGTCCTATCGTGACCACTACGACCGCTACATGGGCCCTCTTCCCCAGGGTAACCTCGAGGTGACGCGTTACCAGTTCGGTGGTCGCTTGATTCCCCGCGAGGCGATCGAGAACAACAACGCAGAGTACCAAAAGGTTGTCCAGAACTTGACTGCCAATGGCGTCCTCCTCGCTGGTAGCGTCGGACACTACAACAAGCCCGTCGGCGCGCCCGAGAACTCAGTCCACCCGGCGTGGCGCAAGGCTGTCATGCAATTGCAGCTCATTACCAACTGGGACAATGCGGCGCCGTGGGCTGACATGGAGGCTTCGCAGAAGCGCATGACAGACGAGTTCATGCCGTGGATAACGGCTGTTACGCCGGGTAGCGCTTCGTACATGAACGAAGCCGACTTCAGGCAACCGGACTGGCAGAATGCCTTCTTTGGCACCAACTACGCCAAGTTGCTCGCGATCAAGAAGAAGTGGGACCCTGAGTCGCTCTTCTACGTCCTGAAGGGCGTCGGTAGCGAGGCGTGGAATGTTGCGGCCAACGGACAGATGTGCCGGGCTTGAGAAGTATCGCTATAGCTGAGATAATCATATTAATACCTACACATCCTATATGGAACCCTTACGGTGATGTGTGGACTATGTGATGAGGGCCAGGTCGTGGAAGGGTTCGACGTGCTTTTGCGTGGCTCCAGACTCGCTCCATGCACTGGGAGTTGGCGAAGCTCAAGGCCATCACAGCAATTTGTCTGGAGAATCGACAAATACGGTTGTGGGTTGTTGCTGGAGTCGATGATGTCCTACTGAGTTATTGTGCGTGATTGCGATGGTGAGTCTGGCCGAAAGCCCCTCCCTTGCGTCACAGTGAAAGAAGATCCAATCAGTGCTAGTCTATGGCAGAATACCCGCTCACGTGCATCACCCTATAGAGCCATTTCCTGCATCCTCACTAATGTCTTTTAGTCTCCTGACAGACTCTCAACAGGAATCACGTTCGTCAGTTCGATGTCGAGAATCGCGACAGCATAGCTAAACTGAGAAGCGTGCGTCAGACAATCAGGACATAGATGCATGCACCTCGAGTCATCACGAGGTCCACCGAGGTCGCAGAACCATGTCTCTATCGGATGGCATCTACTCTCCGCTGAATCGCGAAACGAAATCAACCAGGCTTCTGCAATTTCAGCACCAGCAGGAAGACGAATCTTTGCAATGCACGCTAGCAACCCATTCGCTAAACGATGCTCCGCCATTCATCGCTCTCTCATACGTTTGGGGAGCACCTGAACCAACATACGATATAACCATAAACGAAGTCATATTCAAGGTGCGAGAGAATCTTTGGCATGCCCTTCAACGACTGGCACATATCGCCAATAACGACGAAAACTGCATCTCGCGACAGAAGAAGTCTGGCACAGTATTACCGAAGTACTTCTGGGTCGATGCTGTTTGCATCAACCAAGATGATAACTCTGAGCGAGGTCACCAAGTCGGCCTGATGAAGGACATTTTTTCTACGGCCCACTTTGTAATATCGTGGATCGGACAGGAAGAGGGCGAGATCGCTGTCATGTTTGAATATCTCCAAGGCCTCAAACACACTGCCCGTCGCGAGAGAAATCACTATCTACGCACGCAAAAACGCAAGTTCTCCTTCAAGGATGCAAAGTGGTTCGTGTCACGACCGTACTGGTCCCGGATCTGGATCGTGCAAGAGTTCACTTTAGCCAGAGAGCTCTGGATATTATGCGGACCTGCCGCCATATCATGGACTTCCCTGCAGCAGTTTCGACCGTTTGGCATATCCGACCAGACAAATCTGGGATTCAAACATCTCTCAAAATCGGAAAGCCACTACAGCATCGAGAGCCGCGTCAACAGCTGTAGAGAGCTGTCAAAACTCCGGCGTTCCTGGCAAACCGATCCAAAACGACCCTCCTTCACAGACAAGGAACCCGGATTCGGTGCGCGACCTCGACTGACTCGCCTCTTGGCCTTCTCCAAAGACTACCAGTGTACCGATCCCCGAGACCGAGTGTACGGCCTGCTTGGACTCACGGAAGAGGACGGCGTCCAGGACCGATTGCCAGCTGATTACAACATCACGCCATTTCAACTTTATCATCGCGTGATCCATCACCTCAAAAGCCAGGGGCAGTCCTTTCTTCCTCACTTATTTCGCGACAGGCTAGCTCAGGGACTTCAAATATGCGACCACGAAAGCCTTCCGACTTCCACGTTTCTTTACGAAATAGTGGCCAGCCGATGTGTGAAAAGACTTCTCACGACAGGTGCAAATATGTGGAGAGAACAGTTTCTAAAAGAGGTAACGGAGTTCTTGGACATCGCGGATGAAGATGATGATTCATATCAAATGTTTTCGAGAATTATCCGCGGAATGGAATATTTTCCTTCTAACGAAGACCCAACCACTTGGGCAGAGTTTATTGAAGCTTTGAAGAAAGCTTTGAGCATTGATTACAAGAAGTTGTTGGAGCTTCCAGTAGTTGACTCCGATAGCATCAAATGACAAAATTTGAGCAATGATTCGTGTGGCCTCAGTCTAGGCTGTAAACCATGGATTCAGAGACCAACGTTGACGACTCAGTCAAGTCCGTCGAGAAGACGTGATGAATTCCAGGATAATTTAAAGAAGAAGCCAAGAAAAAGCTGACAATGAATTAGATTTCAACGGATCTTGCTAGGATATTTCAAGTTGCTGATCGGATGTATGCATGCCATCGCTTGATACTTCATATTTACGCACTCGACTTCGCGATTCAATGATCAGCTGGGCTCGTCTTCTGAGGCTGTCACCTTCCTGTTAGATATTACCAGTTAAACGATTGCCATTGCGTATGTTTGAATAATGTAGCGTTAACCAGCCGTTTTTATCATCCTCTCTGCTACGCCATCGCCTGTGTCCCTATGCCGCCACGTTATCCGATAGACAAGGTGGCTCTCATCTCTGCACACGAAAATTTCCAAAGTCAGCGGTTGCTTCCGACAAGTAAGAAAGAAGGAAAACATGGCTTACAGAAGTAATCCCCAAACCACCATACAGTCCAACTGCCCACGAGCTCAAGACTCGGAACAGCGCCTTCCCCGTTTCGCCCTCTTTGTAGCAAACATAGCCGTCGACAATGCCGCAGTAAAGACCTGAAGTCAGAAGTACGGTGTCGATGGCTCTTAAGTCACCTCTGGCATAAAAAGTGTAGATCAGCAGTCCAATGACCGATGTACGTGCCGAGGAGAGGCTGAAGGTTGCATGAGCGGTCGGCGACGAGGCGATTCTTTGTGGAAGGCCGAAGGCTTTAATGGATCCGGCCGGGTTGAAGAGGGCGAGTAGGCCGCCAAAGGTTGTGGTCGTTGCGACGAAGAGAGGGAAGATGTGGCGGGGATTTAGAGAGGACATTGCTGATCTCAGATGGTGGGTTTCAGCGAAGAGTTGAGAGAGAGAGAGATATAGAGCCTCACGGCCATGCAATAACCTCACAGGAGACAATGAGACAGAAAAGGATGGCATCTCTATTCTCGCTCAGGAGGTTGGAGGGGTGATTAGAACCACCTTAGGCAGCAGTAGAAGCTAACATGTAAGCTGCTTACATACACACTTTGTGCCAGAATGTTGCTTAGATGCAAATAGGAATTTTAGAAATGGGTCGAAGAAAAGAAGGTGGATACTTCCCATTCGCGATCGCTCTCTTAATCATTTTTGACGCAATGTATCTCAAAAGCAAGTGTGTCCAAGGTCCTCATGATGCTAGCTTCCGGTAGGCAGCGGAAATCAACCGCATGCAGCTTTCGACTCTCCTCAGAAGCCACTGCCTCTGATATGCTAGGTCTTCAATCCCATTTACAGTGGGCATTCGGTGCAGAGACATGACAATTTGGTGCAATGGAGTGGGGTCAATTCAAAGGCCCAATGGTATTGTTTGAGTCAGTCGTGAGGTAGCTTATCTCTTTGCTGCTCGACAAGGCGGGTTTTACTCGACGAGAGACAGTTTAAGAACTTCCCAAACGTGCGCAATATCTCATACATTCTGCGTTGATACTATGGCCGTCGTGCAGGGAATGCCCTGGGTGGATAGAAAGAATGTGCATGCGGACATCCTACTTAAAGATGTTGACTTCGTGAGGCGCATTTGTTATCATGAGATATAGTGCATCCTACATGGCAAAGTTAGGTGATTTCAAGGTTGAGTGCTTTGCAAGCGGGTTCTTACCGAATCCAATGTCTTTCTCTGATCGGATGATATACGCTGTTTGACGGCACTAGAACGAATTGATTCTGAATCCGTACGTAGTGCCTCCTCAAGAGTTATGCTCTTATCCCCCTCGGCGGTGAAGAAATCGGCAGGGAGCCTTCCAACTTCGACTCTGCCTGGTACCAAGCCAAAATCCGAGAGTCGATTGCACCCCAATTCCCAAGGGGTAACCTTATTGCCATCCAGAGGGAGTGTCTCATTCTCCGTGTTTGCTGGATGCTTCAATTTTGCGCATCTTGATGTGGATTGTCGTTGCCGACCCTCGCCGATGTTTTCTTCGGTTTCGTAGTGCTCTTCTATCACTCGCCCTAGTCCCCTCTTTTCCTCGCCTTCGCTGCTAGGACTTCGCCTTCGTCTTGATCGATACGAATGCCTCAGGGGCAACCGCTTGTTGTCGAGGTCTGGATAAAAGTCGTGCTTGTCGTCAACTTCGACTTGTGGTAGAATTGGCCACCCGAAATCCCTTAACCTTACCCCTACTTTCTTCCGCAATTTCAATTTCTTCTCCCGACTTCGATCCAAACCGTTTGTCGAGACGACATGTCCCTTTCTCTCAGGTGATATGTTCGCCTCCTTCGCCTCTGCCCGCTCACATGCGACAAGAACGCAGATGAGGCCCCTGGGACGGAAAAGCTCGCCATTCGCCCTTAGTAAGACTTCGCTCATTGCACTGTGTTTCGGTATCCGCTTCACATGCTTTGCTGCTAGGCCAATTGCTATCGCGATCGGCATGGGATGCGATGCGGTGAGACCCGCCGTGTCCTTGAAGCCGCTGGTGTTCACAGCTTGGTCTCCTGGAAATACTGATGGGTCGTCTAACCGGTTTAGATCGTCTACGAATCTGAAGAACTCATTCTTGCTGATGCCGCAGTTTTGCAAGCCGGGGGGATAAGTTCGCGAAAACTTTGGTGTCGATGTCCTGAATCCTCCTTGGGGGATAATGACTGGGTGTGACAGTCTGGGCTGAGGGAGGGTAATCATCGGCAGTGCAGTGCCAGGTAGGAGATAGTCGTCTGGGAGCCTTGGGATGGCATCTTGCAGAACATCGAGATATTGTTGCAGTTCTCTAGATCGCGGTTGCTTTGGTGATTCCTGTTGCTTGATGAGGTGCCTCTCGGAGATTCTTTGAATCAGAGCAAGGCTTTGACTTCGCTTTTCTTCTTCCGTTCTTTGCCTGTCTTCGTATTTGCAAATTTCGAGGGATGTTGAGTCATTCCCTTGAGATGACTGTGATTTTGCGTTTTCTAACAAGCCGATAGACTGTCGAGAGACTGCTGCATTGAACGGCTGTGTCCCCGGGAGATATGTCGCCATATTCGGAAGTAACCTTAGTCTGCTCAGGTATCGCCTCACCACCACGGATCAGATACCAGGTATTCGGGGCGAAATCGACTACACATTGTGAGTGAGAAAGTTGCTAAGAGATCAGGAAATTTTCAATGTTGAATGATGTCTGGAATCCTCCGGACAGGCCGGCGGACATCTATCTGTCTCCAACACATCCCGATCCTAAATATGCGGGCGGGACGTTATAGGAGAGCAAGTGAGACACGCTACTAGTTTGAACTTTCCGGCGGTGTTCTCCGAAAGAGAAAATTACGTGCATAACCGAGTCCGGAGGCCAAGCGCGGCGAATGCGCAGGCGGGTGCGAATGCGACGAGGGAAAAGGGGCCCGAGTGCACTCCCAACTCGGACTTCGGCCCTCATCAAAGGTGAAAACCGACTCCGCCTCCTACGGCTCACATAAGTTCGACCAACCAATCCGCAGATCCCAAACAAGTACGCTATGCGAGAAGGTATACCTGTTCTGACGACATTCCTAATCCCACCGGGATCTTGATTGCCATAGAAAAGGGCACATCGTCCCTTGCAATGGGCCGTGCCTAACTAAATACAGCCATCTTTCCGAAGCGCCTATTCTCTTGGTCGATACCGAATTCCATGATCCATCTGATTGATGAATTCAAAAGCTCTTGAGCAACCGCCTCCACCAGGGCAGTCTATCCAAATCATGTTCTCCGGTCTCAATCTCCCTTGACTCGTCCAGATCGCGTCGGCGACCGGACATCAGATCAATCTCGCCCACCCTCCAGAAGTGTGTCTTGAACCAGAACTTGTATCCGAACCAAATGATGGGGAACAAGGGCAGTAAGATATAAGCATCGATGAATGACCCAGCGTCGAATGGCGAAAGGGTGGTCCAACCCTGTACAATTGCTAGGAAGATGTTTGCCGCCAAGCCGAAGTAGGCATTCCATGGGTACCATAGCGAAATGAAGGGTAGTGAGCTTTCAGCGTGCCCTTGGGCCTTCCACGCTTGTCTGAACCGAATGTGAATGAAAGAGATGGAACCCCAGACGAGGAAAGTCGAGACACCGCTGAGATTCACGATGTAGGAGTACGCCTTGCTGGCGCCGGTGCTGATGTTCATCATGGACAGTGCGCCACACAAGTTGGTGAACACAATGGCTGGGATAGGCACACCGCGACTATCAGTTCTCCCCAGGATCTTGGGTGCCTTCTTGTCCTGGCCCATGTACAGGAGAGTGCGGGATCCGATGTAGATGGACGAGTTGCACGCCGACAGACACGTAACGAAGATGAAAGCGTTTATCAAATGCACGCCACCTTCCCAGCCGGCGTTCTGAATAGCCACCGTCATGGGACTCTTCACTGCACGGGATCCCCCGTTAACGAGCTCATCAGCGTTGGCCGGGCATGTCAGACCGAAGAAGAAGGCGGATCCCATGTAGATGAAGATGATGCGCCAGAAGACCTGACGAATCGCAAGTGGGACTGCGACGCGCGGGTTCTTGGTCTCCGTGGCGGCGACGGCGACGGATTCACAGCCGGCGTAGAATGTGGAACAGAAGACGAAGACCTTGGCAGTGCCGCGGAAGCCATCTGTGAAAGCGCCGGGATCGCGCCAGTATTTGAAGCCGAGGGCTTCTTGTCCGGGGACTCCTCCGGCAGCATATCTAATTCTAGATCAGTTCTGTATATTCGAAGTAGATGTCGTGGATGTAGACTTACACGATCGAGAAGATAAAGTATGCGACTAGGCCAATCAGTTTAAGCAAAGCTAGCCAGAACTCGGCTTCTCCAAAAGCCTCAACCCCCAGCAGTTGGAACCCGAGGAAAAGCGTCTAAATGCGCATTAGCAAACCTTTCCATGTCTTAGTGAGGGTGTTTGAATCTACCCAAAAGATGAGAAAGTATCCCCACAAAGGGACCTTGTCACTCCAGAAGACAAAAATGCTCGATAGCACATTGTACTCATTGGCCAAGACACACATCCAGATTATGTAGTAATTCCAGCCCAGTGCAACACCAAAAGCTTTGTCGACAAACCGATCCGCAAGCCCGGTGAACGCTCCGCCGCTGGGATACAACGTGGTCAATTCACCCAGACTCTGCATGATACTGAACGCAATGATGCCGATGACGCCGAAGCCGATGAGCAGGGCGGCGGGTCCGCCGTTGGAGAGCGCGCCGCCCGCGCCGATCAGGAGGCCCGGCCCGATGATGCCCGCCAGGGCCATCATGCTGAGGTGCCGGGTCTTTAGGCCTCGCTTGACACCGCTGTGCGGGTCAATGGCTGAGAAATCGGCGTCTGCCGAGGTAGAGTCGTCGGCGTAGCCAGCGCGGCCGACGCGCGCGTCTTCGATGACGGGGACATCATCACCGTCCTTGTCGTAGGCTCTGTATTGGGACATTGCAGCGAGGTGATTTGTAGGATTGTGGAATGGGACTGCGAGGGGCTGAGGAATTTGATAAGTTGATGATCTTGCCAAGATCAGACCCTATCAGTGGCCCAGTACGGTCTCAGTCGCTTATCAGCCACCCCTCTCTCGTCTAGGGATTTGTAGATTCGCAGGTTGGATTTCCGATGTTGGTTGAGGTTGGAAGAAATAATTCAAACCACGAAGGAATTGGACCCAGCCCGGTGGATCGGGACTTTGTATGCATTGCCGCGAGGTAATAGCCGGACCATTGCAGTCGAAAAAATCTCGTCATAGCAAATCGTGTGCAGAGTAACAGCGTTGTGATGGCGGATTTGCGCCGCTTGATCGCGTCATCGCCTGTCCTTGTCTCTAATGGTCTCTAATTGGGCCACCGAGGGGCCCCGATGGCTAACGACCCGCTTACATGCCGTGCAATGAGGGGGGCATCCCGTCCTTTTTCACCATCGCTTCCCGTTTAGGAGATTGTATCAGACGTTGATATTCAGCTCGATGGGTAGCAAATTGACTCGTACGAAAGGTTAATAGATTTGCTGACAGGCTTGTCGTTGTTGAGTGCCAATCTACTAAGCGTCATCTTGTGTATAATCAGATTGATTGATGCCGCTATAGTATTTTGCTTCGAAATCCATCGTCTTGGCACAAGTTGAGCGATTAGATTTACAAATATCACTCCTCGAACTCGCATGCACTTAGAGTACATGTAATTATTACCATGGTTGTGTCATTTGTCTGATAGTAGGTACCTAAGTCACTCGAGACACTGTGAGATAATCAACTAAGGTACTTCAGTTCAATGATTGATCAGTACAAGTAGCGTGCGCATTCCATTAGACACCCATCATGGCATTAATGCAACTTAGGCTAAGACAAAAAGATCAGTATCCGTCAACTCCTTTCAATACAGGTCTTGAACTTACCGTTGGCCATTTGTAAGACAAACTGAGCAGCAGCATCTGCATCCTCAGCATATGTCAAATGGTCGACAGTGATAAAACCACCGCTGCAAACAGCATCGTTTTCGTGACAGATGATCTTGGTTTTGCCCTCAGCGCCAGTGATAGCGCCCGGGTTTCCAGGATCTCCAAAGGTTAGGATAGAGTTGATCTTGGCCATGGTGGCCGCCGGGAGAGAGTTTGCAGTACTCCGGACAACCAAAGCACCCTGGGAGTAGCCAGACATAACGATTTTGGTGCTCGGACAGTTTGTGGCGGCTTCATTGATGAAGTTTGTCCTTTGATAGGATTCCAGAGTTAGCGTTCGCTCCTTGACTCATCGCTAACACGGAAAAAGCATTGATCTTTTTTTTTTCTTTTTTTTTTTTTTGGATAAGCTCACATGCTTGGAACACCCTCAGTGCCATTCTTGTTGAACCCAGCGAATGTCGCGGGGTATTCGACACCCTGGATCGAAACAGACTTGGTCCCTCGCTGTTGGTTAAGAGCGTCAAAAAAGGGCGGGCCAGTCACAAGTCCGATATTGCCGGGCTCAGTGGTGCCACGAGCGAATATGACGGTGATGTCGGCGCACGCAGCGTTCTGCTCTAGGTCGTCCTCCGTAGTGTCGATGCCAACAGAATCAGCGAGACCTTGTTGAAGAGGAGTTAAGATCAACCCGACTGCGTCGAGTGCTGCCGCGCCCGCTGGTAGAGTGCTGATGATTCTGAGGAATTGGTTAAGTGGACCAGAAGGGAACTTGGCCAGAACATCAGGAATGTCTTGTCTTTCCTCTAGATCGAAATGTTCTGGAGCCGTTCGTTGAAGTTCGGACAAGAGCTCGTCAGCATTCGATGCAGGAAAGCCGTGAACCAAGGAGGCGGATTGCATGCCGACGAAGGCGAGGAGGATTGCCATCCGGCGTGTAGTAAGTGAGGACAACATCTTGAGGATGAGTTCGTGGCAAGAAAGATTGAACGAATGACTTTGCTATCGGATAGTTACTGAGATGGACACGCCAATATCACAAAGGGACGACCCCGGACTCTATATACACGAAGGATGCACAGGTTTTTCGATAGCCTACGTCGAAGCTTCGGCCAATGGCGCTGGATGTCATTGCAGTCGTTATTTACTATTGAAAAGAACCTACGTTCGCACGCTTCGGGAAGGTTTTCACACCTTAGGCTGGGGAATATACCCATAAATCAAGTCTGTATAGGGCCTTGCAGTAGGATCACCCCGCATCGATTCCCGAATGAGTTCAGGGGTAGCGTCCAGTTGACCTTTCTGGGGCTCAATGGACAACCGTTGCTAGTCTTGAAATTCTACTGGGTCGTATTTCAGCGTTGTCTTCAGAGTTTATGCAAGAAACTAGATGAACCGTTGGCGGGTTCTGACGTATGTGGTTGGATGATGCATGCCAAAAAGCTGGAGAAGAACACCAACATCGGTCTTTGAAACACATGAGATGACCTTGGAGAGCATCTCAGCCGAGGCTTGCAAAATACAGTCCGAAGCAGAGGCGCAAAAAGTAACTGCCGAATAATGGCAAGGCCACCAACTCCAGCAGCCGGAGGGTGAGGTAGTATCAAGGCCTGCGCTAGTCGGGCTAGCCATGATTTTGAAGGTGCCTCATTGCAACCATCTGAACTACTCCACTTTGGCAGCTGTCTGTGTCCCGTGACATGTTAAGCCGATTTGAAGAACCACAGGTCTCCCATCAGGGAACGGATGTTGGTGAGGGATAGACGAGATCAAGCTCGTCCCACCACTACCAAGCACCTACCTTGGGGACAGCACATGTCAATGTCTCGCATGATCTACTCAAATGAAGCAGGAGAGGATACACAATGCTCAAGATCACTGTTAGCAAGTCGGTGAATGGCACGTTCGGCGGGGGAGTTGCAAGGACCGCAAAACTCCGAGGGAGGAGGCCGTTCATCCATTGCAGCTCAGCACGGTCTCATGCAAAAGATACTCATTTGACTATTGTGCCAATATACGGTCTTTTTGGTGTATTGAAATGGTGAAGTCCTAGTGAGGGAAGTCTTTTGAGGTCAAGATGGCAATACTTCTCGCTTCTTTTCTTCGACTGACAGTCAATCTACATAGAAACACGCCTAACAGGCCCTCGAACACAAGAAGACGGGTAGCAATACTCGATGCAGATACGAATAATGAGATTCGACGGTCTATGGAGTTCTAAACGCCAAAAGATTCAAATACAGGGTGGTTGCTAACCTCAAGCAGCACCTGAAAAGTACATGTGCTATCGTCTCTTCGTCTACTCCATTTCCCTATGGACCAGACCAATGGTTGCCCTACTGAGACTTTGCCTTTGACTCGTCAATGCCGAGCCGTCCGAGAACAGCGCGAACGCTCTCCCCGTGGTACGAGTACATCCACTTGCAGCCCATGTGGGGACCGACCATCTTGATGTAAGCCCAGATGGTCATTTCCTTGATCCACTGGTGGATGAAGGACGTTGACGTCTTGCGCAGGTCGCCATTCTGGGTGGTGAAGTCCACAATCTTGGACACACGGTCCTTGCGGTGGTCCTCCCACGCCTGAATAACCTGAGGGCGGGCGTTGTCATTGAAGAGTGGTGCCTTGATGTGGGCGAGCGTGTAAGCGAGGGTTTCCGCGTCCTCGAAGGAAGTCGCGCCGCCTTGTCCGCCCTAGAAGGAATTTGTCAGCATTGGCTTTTGCTGTTCTCGAGGTGGTCATCGACTCACAGTTGGAGGCATGCCATGAGTTGCATCTCCAATGAGGAGCACGCGGCGGCTCGGAGAAGACCACGATTCCTTAGCAGAGAGCAAGTAGAAGCTAGACATGTTCTCGTCAATAATCTGTAGTTGGACCGCTTATAGGTCCATCACTTACGGCCAGAGAGTCAACGTCTCAGTCGGGGTCCGGTGGCACAGCGCACGCACGACCTCGGGCCAACTCGAATCAATGGGGAACCTCTCCTTGATCATCTTCGCCAGCGTCTCCTTGTCGGCGTCCAGCGCCGTCCACTCCTCACGCGGCCGCTCCTCGACCTCAAAGGTCGCGAAATAGCTGACTTCATCGCCGTCTGCCGACGCCGGCATAACGGCGAAGGAACCGTTGCCGCCGAACAGCATGCAAGGGTAGTGCATATCCGTGTCAACATCGGGCAGGTCACTGAGCTTGAAAGTACCAGAGATACCAGCAAGGCCCTGGAAAACGGGCTGGCTGCCGTGTGGGCGCACAAAAGATCGCACGCGTGAGTGGATGCCGTCGGCACCGATGATGAACTCGGCCGTCACAGACTCGCCGTCCTCGAAATCTACGGTCGCCGACGTGTCCGTCTCCTCACGGACGGCAGAGCACTTCTTCTCGTAGTGGATTGGCACTCCAAGGAGCTCAAGCTGGCGGATCAGCTCACCGCGGAGGACGGTGCGGCGGATGCGCAGGGCCGGGTAGTTGTACTCTTCATAGCTGCCGTTAAGGACCTTGGCGAGGAGGCCACCGCGGCCGTTGAGGAAGGCGACGGACTCGAAGGCAAAACCTTGGGGACGGAGGGTGTCGTAGACGCCGATGTGATCAAGGACGCGGAGGGCGTTTGGTGAGAGGGCGATGTTGCCGCCTGAGACGAAGTCTTTGGGCCTGGCTTCGTAGACTGCAGAGGAAATGCCGCTCTTGTGAAGGTAGAGGGCGAGGGTGAGTCCCTGGGGTACTGGTTAGTCAATCGTCAAATCGCTGTGGAAAGATCTTGGTAATACAGAGAGACCGCCACCGATGATAGCGACTTGAGCCATTGTGAAGAGTGAGGTAAAAGTGTGAGGATAAGTGAACGGGTTGGGTATCGTGTGTAATGATTATAGAGAATGGTCAGTCTCAAATTTCAGTCGTTGCGTGTTCTAGATGCTTCCAGCGTTATTCTGGTGTTTTCGGTGTGTTCTGTGATGGATCCGAATTCTAACTGGAGTCCGCTCACACTCCAAGTGGCTTAATCTTATACAAGACTTGGGTCTCTCGTGGAATTGCACCTATCCGCTGTGATGCGGGATCGAGCCAAGCAACGTACGATCGATTGTACGATGCGGCTGCAGCCATCTCCGTCGTCCGCGGCGATTTACTGTAGGTGGAGGCTAGTAGAGCCGTCAGTCGGATCGGTCTCCGGTGAGAACGGAGGAGGATGGACGGCCTTGGTGTGGCGCCTCAGCGAGACAAGCCAAATGTCTTGCTCTGCGTAATTGCTGCTCCTGCTGCCTGGTGTAAGCAGGAAGACTACTTATGTTCTAATGCACAGATTGGTGGTCAATTTGGCCATTCACTCGGGAATAACTCTTTTGATGGCATGTTGGAGGATTTCACACGGCGTGAACGAGCAACGTCACGTCGAGGGGTGTGGTTGAGCATTGCGCTCATCGTTTACGATTTGAGTTGGCTCCAAATCCACCGCTGCAGGATGATATCTAAGCCCACACATTTTGACTGACATTCGCAGAGAAACCTGCATATTCTATTACAGGTATCTTCGTCGTGACTTTAAGAGCAGAATCGCGCGATTCTGCTCCCATCCCTGCATCCTCTAGGCTCCGCGCCCGCGCGCGTTGGTGTAAGCGCCGTGCCGTCAAAAAGCGGACGCTACACTGCACAGCCGCACTCCGCGCCTCATGATGATTTGGTCTTGGACAGGCTGTCCGCATTTCACGAAACATTCGCATTTACAAAAGATCAAATGCTGCCCACGCAAGATGGAGATTTTCGAGATTTTCAATTTCTTTTCTCCTTTCTTGGCCGTCGTTAGTACATATTGATTGCATCTAGAGCTCAATCGAACAGGTTCCGTCAACGCAAAAGCAGAAACCAAACTGACCTGGTAATAGTATTACAGATCTCGGCATCAGTGATCTTGAATGCGACTTACACCGAATGTATACGTTCACAGTACCCCGATACATTCATTATCCACACCTTACACTACAAGACTATGACGACAAAGTATCCTACGATAAGAGACTTTCCTTTTCATACTCAGGGACAATCGTTTGAGCAATAAATGCTAACCAACGGAGAGGGTCGTGCCGAAAAACTGCGTCTACTTTACTTTACCATCATAGCGTGTCCCACTCAGTTCTCAGTAAGCAACTTCTCCATGGATCCGCAACGGACAAAATTTGGGGACCTCATGAGTGGATCGTCCGGAGAGAAGTATCATAAAGTGCAGCTACGGATACAAATACCAGGGAACGAGCTGCTTATTTTGTTTGTGGCCTCTAGTATTTTGTCAAGTCTCCTGTTCCTGCGACGTGACTTTCTCGTGGCTTATAGGTCGGTGTGAGTTGCTACATGGTTGAGTACCGGTGTGGGTTCAATGTCGAATCTTGGCAAAGGATGCAATTGCCGATCGCCCAGCCTTTGCTGGATCTCAATCAAGCCTTCACAACTCGTCACTTCGCTCAACATTGAATACTCTGTAGGTACTTGGCTGTAGCATAAATCTGACAGACCCCACTATTCCAATTGCGGAACCATCGCCGCACTCAAATGTTGAGCTTGTGAATATCGAAGCGGAGGGTCTCCGTCCTCGCGCGTTAGCTTACGTGCATTGCATCAAATATCTTCAAGGGTCCTCGGAGAATGAGCCCACCCGCAAGGCAGCAATTGCAACTTGCCAGCTCGCACAACCAACAAAGCCAGAGGTCCATAATTACTCCATTGAAAGTCCGATACTGATTTGCCCATGAAAGATATGCAAATCTGGTCTGGACCGAAGGATTCGCACTCCACGAGGCACTGCCCACCGGGCGTAAAGAGATGCTTCGAGACAATAACGCCGATCTTCTCGCAAGTTGCAACAGTAAGCGCGGCGATGGAACCCAAAGGTGGTAGCAGTAACAGTCGACACATCACTAGCTTACTCAAGAGGTAACTGATAACGTACAAGTTCCACAAAAAGGCGAACTCTTAGAGTTTAGACATCTTTATTTCTTGTTACATCGTTTGCGCATATGCAGGGGGGGGTTTATCATTAAAAGAAAATTCATGCCTTTGTGATGAACATGGACTGCACGTTGCAGTACGCCTTCAGACCGCCAGCGCCGTACTCGTATCCGATACCGCTCTGCTTGTGACCGCCAAACGGCGCGTCGTACTGCAGCTCCAGGTGAGTGTTGATCCAGACGTTGCCGGCCTTGAGCTTCTTGGCGACGTTCTGCGCCTTCTCGAGGTCCTTTGACCAGACCGAAGCGCCGAGACCCATGAGAGTGTCGTTGGCGCGGTGAATAACTTCCTTCTCGTCACTCCACTTGAGGACGGGGAAGACGGGACCTGGGATAACCCCTTGTTAGCTACGGTGGGGAACAATAAACTTGGGTGTTTTCATTTGCAGAGGGGTCGGCACGATTGAGGGGCAGCGACGGGCGGGCGATTGAGTTCGCCCGTGCATCAATTCACTGTCAGTAGTGGGAGGACTCACCGAAAGGTTCCTCGACGACAATCCTCGAGTTGTCGGGCGGGTTGTCAATCATGGTGGGCGTGATGAAGTAGCCCTTGCCGTTGGAGGCGGGCGCCGTGGATCCCGCGGCGACCTTGAGCTTCGTCTCCTCAATGTCCTTGAGGAGCTCCTTGACGCGCTCGAACTGCATCTGGTTCTGAACGGGGCCGAGCATGGTGCCTTCTTGCTGTCCGTCGCCGACAGGGAGGTTCTTGATGGCGGTGGCCATTTCGGCGACAAGCTCGTCGTAGATGGCCTCGTGGATGTAGATGCGCTTAATGGCAATACAAACCTACAGGCGGGTGGTGTTAGCAGATGGACGACTTAGGGTCTTAATGGGACTTTTGTCAACCAACTCCTACGTACCTGTCCAGAGTTGTACAAAGCCAACATAGCAATCTATGACTTGTCAGCATTTAGTTCCCCAATATTTCGTCGTAGACATTGATATACCTTGGGCGCGACAGCCTTGACATCGACATCAGGAAGGACAATGGCAGCATCGTTTCCACCACTGCGATTTCACGAGTCAGCACCCAACTCCAAATTACTACACTCGGGAGGGAATAGGACGCAGAAGTTCGTCCCAAATCGTCAACTTACAGCTCCAGAGTGACGCGCTTCAGGGTCTTGCTGCAGCTCTCCATCACACGCTTGCCGGTTGCCGTCGAGCCAGTGAAGCTGACCTTGTCGACGCCCGGGTGGGAGGTCAACCAAGGGCCGAGATTGTCATCGCCACTGAGGGCCTGGAAAATGCCGGGCGGGAAGAACTGCTGCGCCAGCTCAACGAGCTTGAGGTCGCAGTAGGGTGTGAAAGGACTATTGTGACTCGGTGTTAGTTCCTGGCATGTGTGCAGGAAGCGGCGACGGTGAAGGAACTGGAGCTTACGATGGCTTCAGGATGAAAGCATTGCCGGTGACGAGGGCGGGGGCAATCTTGCCGCAAGCTGTAAAGTCGTGTTAGTTGGGAACGTTCGCCGGGCGCAATTAGACCAATGGGTGCATACCAAGGAGGATGGGGACTAGAGATAACGAGTTAGCGGATTGATCAACTGAGGCACATTGAAATGGTACGACTTACAGTTCCAGGGAACGATGCCGACAGCGACGCCCAAGGGGACGTATCTCGTGAGAACCCGGCGGTCGGGGTTGTTGTCGACGACCTCTTCGGGGAAAGGCAAGTTCATCATTCCCTTGAAGTGCTTGACGGCCTCGCCGATCTCGAACTGCGCGAAAGGAAGCTGTGTGACGCATGCGGTGTTAACGCGACTCACTCCATGGCCATCACAGTTCGACGCCAACGACTTACAGGCTTGCCCTGCTCCTTGGTGAGCATCAGCGCAAACTCCTCGGCGTGTGCCTCGAGAGCTTCGCCGAGCTTGAGGAGAGCCTTTTGACGCTCCTCGTACGGTGTTTCGGCCCAGGCGTCTTGAGCCTTCTTTGCGGCCTGCACGGCTCTGTCGACATCTTCGGGTGTTGAGAGAGGGACTTCGGGGTTGGCCTCGAGAGTAGAAGGGTTTGGGCTGTTTCTTGTCTTGCTCGTCGACTCGAGCTTTCCGTCAATGATGTTGTAGAACTTGGTCCAGTCCAGCTTGGACGTGCCGTTCGTAGCCATGATGGGCGAAGTACTAGGTAGAGTATGAAGAAAGACTGGATGAGATTGGGGCCCTGGTCTGGTTGCGGGAAGTTACGTTGCGGTCTGGTCCGTAGGATGTGATGGGAGAGAAAAGTATCAGGGTCTGATTTTGGAAACTTGACTGGCACAGATGATCGGGTGAAAAGGAAACGCAGGCGAGAAGAAGTAGAAGGAGGGGGGCCACTGGATATGGAACATGCGAAAGCGACTACTTTTTGCCTTCTCGACCTTTCTTTCTTCCCCCTTCTCCTGATTATGTTCCTTTCTGGGGGCAAGGAGGGGTCGGTCAGGTTGCTCACAATCGCATTATGAGGAACAACGAACCAGTGGAGGGGCACGGGGGGGACGTGGGAAGAGAACCGGGGCATGTTACCGGGATGCCATGTCCTAGACCGAGGGTCGTCGTCTAGTACTCCATTTTCGATGTCACGATGGCCGTTGTCGATTGACATCGACTACTCGCAGAAATGGAGCGTGGCACCGTGGGCCCCGCGGGCAGGCGGGGGGTGTATGGAGATAGTCCAGAGCTATTTCAAATTTGGGGTAGCTCACCCGGCCAAGGCTCCTACTATGGGTAGTTTTGCCTGGCTCTGCGTGGCTCTTACAGTCTTACTCCTCACTTTTCCCTGCCTCTGTATTGGTATTGGAGTACTCCGGAAGAGTTGGCCAAACATTGGAGTGGACGGGAACTGGTTCTGTTCCATTGTGTGTCTCGGTCAGGTTCTCAACTGCCACCCAAACCCGCAATCCGCCGCCCGGCGCCGCACCATTAGAATCGACAACTCAGCCAAGCCAAGTCGCGACGGGGCAAGTGTTGAAACGCGGATGAGTTGATCGGCTTAAACTGAAAAGGTACGTACCATTATGTAGCGTTATGTAAGCCAGCGTTAGTCTACTCTACTACCTACCTCATGAAAAGTAGGAAGGTATGGATAGTGTTGACGCATTGCCGTCTTCCGTAGTATGTTTACCTTTGCTGCACGTCAATGCTGACACAGACTCTCCTGCTTCTCTTGCTGCAGACGAAAGTGACGAAAGGGGGGAAGAAAGTTGGAGACACAGACAACAGACGAATTTGAAGTCGGCAACGTGCCGCTTTCCACCCCTCCTTTTGCGTTTGGCACTTCTATTATCCCGCGCCGCACCCATTTCCCCGTAGCAGAAGTCTGACTTGTGCTTGAACCGATCGTGATTCCTACCTTAGCCGGGGAGAAAAGAGGGTCTGACTCGACCACCAGCTGCGCCGTGCTGCTGCCGTTGTCCACCTTAGCTCGCCTCGCGCTGTGTTTGAGGATTCGCCCTTCCTCCTGCAAGGTTGGTCATGCAGACAGACTCAAGGTCGAGTCAAGCTTTCCGCAGCTGATGGTTGGCTGGAATTGTTCCCCAGGTCTTGGTCTTCCCTCAAGACATTGACCCGCCGGCTCGGCGCCGGCATGAGATGCATGGGGGCACCTGAGCCAGACTCTACTACCTCGTGCCACGGCTTCGGCAATTATTGCGGGCTGTACTCCGTAGCAGGCAAAGAAAAGAAACAGAGCTTGTTCCCGATAGTCTGGCTCCCCTTTTCGAAGCTAAGGCAGGCCGGTCGGCCAGCTATCTAGTTACGAAGGGGTGCTCGGGAGGGGGGGAGGGAAAGGGTATGTTCGGTCCAATTGATCCAGAATGCTCGGGTTCGTTTCTGGTAGCCGTGAGGCCGCGTGCGCGCGCGCGCCCGGCCACGTTGAAGAATATAACGACATGCATTCCCTCGCAAGTCCCATCTGATTATTAGGGCTTTGAGAAACATCAACGATATTTGCAGAGAAATTTTATGGCGACCATCATGGGCGGCGAAAGCAACCACAACCGTGCGATTGTATACACGGAGCCCGGCACCACACAGACGGAGGTCGTGGAACTACCGATCCCGGAGCCTAGCCCCGGAGAGGTCTTGGTTCGGCTGTGAGTCGATTCATACCTTCAATACCACAAAGTTCCATTACTGATCATGCTAATACTGCAGACAATACTCTGGCGTTTGTCATACCGATTACGGCTTTTGCATGAATGCGTTTTCATCGGTCCCATTTCCTACACCAAAAGGTACGTCTCACCCGATTCGAGTAGTTCGACTCATTGAGCAAGGATCTAATCATGAGATATCACAGGTCAAGTTGGTGGTCATGAGGGTACGTCAAAACTCCCATGTAAATCACCAAATCTCACATCACGAGGGTCAAACACTATTCTTTTTGACTCGTCACTAATGTGCTTGTAGGAGTTGGCGAAGTTGTTGCTGTAGGCACTGGTGTAACATCACCAGCAATCGGTGACAGGGTGGGAATCAAGTATGCGGCAGATGCATGTCTCAACTGCGGTATGGTCACGATCATCTCACATAACCTTCCTTCACTAACACCGCATCTCAGATCGATGTCTTCAAGGCGGAGAATCATCATGTGCACAAGTTAAACTCTCCGGCTACTTCACCCCCGGCACATTTCAACAGTACTGCATATCGACGGCACGATACGTCACTCCCGTCCCCGCAGGCCTCGATTCAGCAGAAGCCGCCCCTCTGATGTGCGGCGGCATCAGCGTCTACACAGCCCTCAAGCGCGCTGACGCCCGCCACGGCGACTGGGTAGTCATCGTTGGAGCCGGCGGGGGCCTCGGTCATCTAGCGATCCAGTACGCCCGCGTGATCGGGTGCCGTGTCGTGGCCATGGATGTCGGCTCCAAGGAGAAATTCTGCCGTGACCTCGGGGCGACGGAATTTGTCGACTTCACGGCGTACCCCACCGACGAGGACCTGACGGCGGCGATTAAGAAGATTACGGGTGGAGGAGCGAGGGTTGTGCTCATGTGCTCGTCTAACAAGAAGGCGTATGTGCAATCTCCAAAGTGGCTCGGCTTCAGGGGCAAGCTTGTCTGCTTGGGTGTTCCCGAGAATAGCAGCCCGGCCATTGCAGACGTCGAACCCATGCTCGTCGACGAGTTGACTATTTTTGGTATGTTTTAACTTGGTCATGGCATCTTTTCACTGCGTGATTGGTACCCACTTAACACAGATGCTTACCTGTATACCGCAGGTGTCAAGACTGGTAATAGACTCGAGGCCAAGGAATGTCTGGAGATCGCGGCACAAGGCAACATCAAAACTCACTTCCAACTTCGGCGAATGGGAAGCTTAACAAAGGTAACTCGATCTCATTCTCAGATACTTACTTGATCACGTCCGGCTGACAGGACGATCTACAGATTTTCAACGAGATGGAGTCTGGAGGGATTCAAGGACGCGTTGTGATTGATTTGAAGTAGACGCATATACAATGACATGATTCCAGTAAATACACAACTTTGATGACCATGAAACGCTCTTCGAGTACCTTTGATCTCAATTGGCCTCTTTTTTGGAAACCCAAAAGAAGAGAAAGCACGCGCTATATTTTAATCATAGTGTGTCTCAGATATGAAAATTGATTCCGAATATTTCGAAGGTCGTGATATCGTACGCAGTCCACCAGAATGTGATCAGCATCAAAAGGCTGCCAAAGACGTTCTAGCCGAGCCCGAGAACCGGTGCTACGAGAATGCCACGAGAGAGAGACTACTTCGTACCACAAGTGCCGACTCGGCTCGCTAGCAGCCGGGGTAAACTCCAATTTACGTGCCGAGATTGCGGGACGGTTAGACGAGCTAGACGATAAAGTTCAATGAAGCTGTTGGGCTGTGCTGGCAAGCTCGGCTCATGGCGTCGGCAACCCGCGTCGAAGGTCACGCGGCCCCGGACCATCTTTCGCGCCACCCCGTTTTCATCCCGTCGGGCTAATTAACCCCATTGCGGGGAAACGGGGAAAACAAGAGGCCCATCGAGATCTTTCCCCAGACTCCAAGCCTCAGACGCCCGAGATCTAGAACGGGGCACGAGGGGAAACTTCTGATGCGTTGCGGGGAAACGGGGAGACTTCTGTTTTCTGACAGCTCTTCCCCAGACTCCACCGACACGCAGGCGCGGCCCCGCGCTGGGGAAGATCAGAACCCCATGGGCCCTTGATTCTACCCCGGATCTGTCGAGTCAGAAACCGTTGAACATTCTGAGTCGTCTTCTCGCATGATGGCTGGTGGGTAGGCACATTCTGCAACGGGTCAGTGAGACCACAAAGAGGCCTTGTTCCAGATCCCTAAGCCTCGTCATAGTACTTCGGATTCTGTGGCGTGGGTTAGGGGTAATCAGACCAGATGAGTTATCAAGTAGACGTGAATGGTCGAGTACTGATCGTGTTATGCAGCGACCATCCCGAAATGGGTTGGGAGTTTTTCTGACTCGAAGCTTCGTTGAGCTGTTGGTTTCCCCATTGGGTTATTGGTGATTGGTCTTTTCTGACACGTCGTGGTGTTGCTTCCTGACGCCAAGTACGGTGAGTTTGTTGGAAAGCAGAGATTCGGTTCTGACGCAGTGATTTCTCCATGCGCTTCGCTTGATTTGTCGAAGAGTTGCATTGGAATCGGCTCTGATAGTATTTACCAAGCCTGTGAAAGCAGTCCCATCCTTATCTGCTTTCTCAAAAAAGAAACACTTCTTCTCTTCTTCATTTTCTGTGTGGTGAACAAGCCGCAAGCGGAGCCAGAAATTGGCATGACAAACACTGAAAGATGGCAATGACAGACTTCCAGATCTTTCAGGCCCGTGGCCTGTTCTTCGTGCTGGGCACTCAGCTCCACGTTTTTGTTTTCCGTAAAGGGGAATGGGATAAATCCACCACCAGACTCTTTAGGAACTTCACCTTGGGTATTGGACTGCTCACAGCGGTTCTTGCCCGCGGGGCCCCTGAGACCTTTCAGACTCACGCGGCTGCGCTCAGGACTGCTGGATCTCTCACAGCCACTCTCATCGCTGGAATTTACACCAGTCTACTTGTGTACCGCGCGGCGTTCCACCGGCTTAATGGCTTCAAGGGGCCGTTCCTGGCGAGGCTGTCGAATCTGTGGATCACCTCACGAGCAGTCAAGGAGTTGCACATGTACACCGAGGTTCAGCAACTCCATGAACAATACGGCGACATTGTGAGAATTGGTAAGGAACTCTGTTCAATCTTATCATCGAAAGAAAGAATGCTAATATCAATGGGATAAGGTCCGACGGAGTTGTCCATCAACAACCCAAAGGCCGTACTTCCAATTCACTCAAATCGCTCACCGTGTACCAAGGGCCCTTGGTATGGAGTCCTGCATCCCATGTACTCGTTGCAGCTCGTCCGAGACAAGCAAGAGCACGCGCAAAGGCGCAAGAGTTGGGACCGAGGGTTCAGCTCGAAAGGTAATTCAAGAACTCGCCCAGAGACAATCTGGGGTTTCGCAACTAACAAGAGGACTAGCGCTTAGAGACTACGAGTTCCGGGTTGCCGACTACACCAATCAGCTGCTTGCAAACATCGACAAGAACAAGGGAAAGCCTTTCAATATTTCAGATTGGTTCAATTTCTATAGCTTCGATGTCATGGGAGACTTGGCTTTTGGCAAATCTTTTGGCATGCTCAAGGAAGGCATTAAGCACTACTTCATGACTTCCTTGCATCAAGACATGCAAGCTATTGGCATGTTCAGCCACATGCTATGGCTCTTCCCCATCTTCAAGAACACGCCAATCTTGAATGAGAACAACAAGCGGTTCTGGAAATTTGTCACGGCTCAGGTGGACGAGAGAATCAAGGTAAGATGTGCCGTCGACCCGGGTCGAGGGATATGCATGCTAATTGTCATCAAATCTAAGAACCCCCCTGACCGCCCGGACGTCTTCTCGTGGATTTTGGAAGAGTACCAATCTCTCAAGAACCCGACTTGGCAAGACACCCTCAACCTATACGGCGATGCCTACCTTATCATCGTTGCAGGAAGGTTAGTAATGTCTCGCATCCCCCTTTGATATCTATGGTGCTGGGTCCAACTCAGCTGACATTGCCGTTCCGAATGCGTGAAGTGACACGACAGCCGCGTCCCTCACCTGTCTCTTCTTCGAGCTAGCCCAGAAGCCGGATGTCTACCAGCGTGTAAGGGAGGAGATCGACGACTACTTTGCGCAGAATGCGGAGCCAGAACACTCCGCACTGTCAAAGCTCCCGTACCTGCAGGCGTGCATCGATGAGACGTTGAGGCTTCACCCTCCCGTTCCGTCGGGTGTGCAGCGCATGACCCCGCCCGAGGGCATAGATATCGACGGGACGTTTATTCCGGGTGACACAATCATCCAGGTGCCTACGCATACCATGTTCAGAGGCAAGTCTAAAAAAAAATGGGGGTTTTCCATCATTGTCTCGGCTGATGGGAGTGCGTCTTTCGTACAAGACGTTGCTTGCTGACTGTGGCGAAAACGAATAGACGAGCGTCTGTTTCCGCAGGCAAACGACTTCATTCCCGAGCGGTGGACCACCCGGCCCGATCTGGCCAAAGATCCTGCCGCATTTGTTCCCTTTGGTACTGGTAAGCACCTAAAATATTACCACCTTCACCTTTTTGGGCCGATTGGTGCAACGTGAGAGCTGACGACAAGGATAAATCATGACAGGCAAGTACTCGTGTGTCGGAAAGCAGCTGGGCTTGATGGAGATCCGTTACTGCGCAAGCCAAATTATTAACCGATATGATGTTGCATTCGCCCCAGGGCAGAAGGCAGAAGCGTTTATCAATGGCAAAAAGGATGGTTTTACGCTGTCGTTGCCGGAGTTGGAAGTGATTTTCAAAGCGAGGGAGAAGGGAAAAGTGACAGCTTAGCAAATGAGAGAGAGAGAGAGATGACGATTGGAGGTAACACAAGACTGCTCGGGCTGGAATGTCTTATAAGCCATGTTTAATATGTGGGCGAGATATCCGAGGTATCCAGTGACATATCGCAATTTGATAATGAGCGTTGCAAAGCCAACATAAACCCACTTTTTGCATAGACAAGTCTGGCAGTTCGGAATCGATTTTCGATAGGGCGCAAGGCTTGGTGTGGCTACACGAGCTGAAGGGTTTGCAGGGGACGGTAAGGATTTAGTAGATTTTTAGGGGAAAGTAGACTAGGTAGAAGTCCCGTCCGGACACGGCATCCGCGGAATGTCGAAGTAGTACTAATTAGCCCCCGTTGGAGCTTGGTTTGCTTGGGAAATCCTTCTCTTAGTACTAGCACAGTTGTCTGCTCTTGCGACTGAGACACTCTAAGACCAATGCGACGGAGTGGAGGGCCACCGGCTTGCATTTCCCACCATTTCCCAGCCGCTGATTTGTCGCTCTTCTGGGCTAATTGCGTGCGGAGCTATGGCGGCCGAACTCTATCAGAGCCACGCGAAGCCACCGATGGCAGAGTTTAAGCCCAATGTCACATAGGAATCCCAGCTCAGCTAGACCAGGGCAGGCAAGACAAGGCAAGGAGAGAAAGAGAGAAAGAGAGAAAGAGAGACAGAGAGACAGAGAGACACAGAGAGAGAGCTGCAGGACAAGCAAGTGCCATGTCCACTGTACAGCACGGCAAGGGTGGCCGCATTTACCCCACATTCTTTGATCTTTCTTCTCAACTTCTCATCCACCCCTCTTCCCTCCTTGCTACACCATACATCTATACCTACTCTCTGACTGTTGTATCTGCACTCCGTATTCGAATGTCTGTCTATGGCGTGGCCGGGATGCCCGTCCAAGCCCTGTCTCTGCTGCCTCTGGCTGTCTGTCTGCCTCGATACACGATTGGTTAATTGATCCTCAAGGAGTAAGCTTCCTTTTGTCTTTTCAACTCCCGGTCCCCTTTTCTCCCCATTAGTATTGATGCCCGCCCGATCCACTTCTGCACATCTACCGTCAACTTTCTTCGACACTATCCGTACCCGTGCTCGGGCTAGTAATCGATATCTCATCTTTCCGCTGACAAAACCAAGCTTTCCCATCATCCGCTTGCGAAAGATAGGGCCCAAACCAGCGGACCACGCGCGGAGAAAGCACAAACATTTGGCTCCTCAAGCGCGGACGCGCTTTTATTCTCGTTGGCTCTTCCTCTCTTTTCTGCCCCCAATCTTCTTTCATAAAGGAAGAAGAGAGAGCTATGGCGTCCAATGGACCAGACGATGATGCCCCCACACCAGCAGCAGCAACAGGAGAAGGAGCTCCGCCAGCCAAGGTCCCCTCCGAAAAGGAGCTCGCCCGCAAAATCCGGAAGCGCGAGCTTGACCGCCGGGCCCAGAGGCAAGCTCGCGAGCGCACCCGCAACCGCATCGCCGAGCTCGAAGCCCAAGTCAAGGAGCTCCGAAAGGATGACTCGACGAGGCTGTCGGCCGCCATGGAGCAGCTAGCCTCGGTCACGCGCGAACGGGATGGCCTGTTCGACACCTTCAAGTCCATCGAGCAGACGATCCGCGACCATGTGCTGCCGAGCCGCCCAACCCCAGCAGCGACGCAGCAACGCTCTCCTCCTCCCACCGTGACAGCGTCAACATCCCTGCCACCAGCAGGTTCTCGGGATGCGACTATGCTTACGGAGCTCTCGGCGCCAACGTACACCGCACCCATGGGCCTGCTGCCCGAAACCCCCGCCGCCCTCGACGTCCACGGTTTCCACGGTAGTGTCAACGGCGCCGTCGTCGGCAGCGTGCCGAACGGATTCCCGGCATCCAGCGTACATGCGCCCAGCGTCCACGCACCCAGCTCCACGTCTGACAGCCAGGACTTCGTCGACGACGAGGACGACGACGGGGACGATGCTCCAGACGATCCCAATCTCATCGTGCCACCGCCTGAAGCGCACTGCGACTGCGTCACTGTCCGGACCCCGGCAGGTCCAGCGCCGCCGAGGGTGAACGTATGGCGGGCGGTCAACCAGGTCTTGGCGAAGCGGTGTCGCATATCAAAGGAAGCTCACGCGGTCGAGGATGCCAACGACGAGGACATACCCGTGCGGGTACTGCTCGAAGGCTGGGATGCCGTCGCCAGGTCGCGACCGCTATCCAAGCTGTGGAGGAAGCTTCGGAGGGTCGACGAGTTGTGCTTTGTGACTTGCCCACCGACTGAACGGCTGGCGATCCTTCGGACTATGCACCTGCTGCTGCAGTATCACTCCGATCCTACCCCGGAACGATATGCTAAGCTACCTACCTGGTACCTGAAGAGGTTTGTCATCTTGACTGGGTGTACTAGTGGTAGATGTTTGCTGACTTGTTGCAGACCGTCACAGGCGATGCCTCACTCTTACGCTATCGACTTTTTCGTCTGGTACTTCACCACATCTTTCCGGCCGTTGCTGTCGACAATGCAGTCACTAACAAGCTTCTAGGCCCGGTGTTCGAGAACGGTTCGTCTTCGGACAGCACCACTACTGCAACAACCAATTCTGGGAGCTCTTCGGCCCCAACTTCCACCTCCTCTGGCCGTTTGAATTCCGTGATGCGTACAAGAAGAGCGTAGTCACGGGCCAGTATCAAATATCGCCCATGTTCGAGCAGAGGATATCCGACATCAACGCCTGGACAATGGGCATGGACTTCTTCACCCGCTTCCCAGAGCTCATCGCCGACATCCCGGCATTCCACTCCGTTGCCCAGGCCCTGACGCCCGCCGTCACGTCACTGCCCCCGATCCATCACCACGCGCTGCCTCAGCAGGCTTCCCTGTCGCAGCTGAAGGAGCGCGACGAGCGTCTGCTTCTGGAGCAGCAGGCTTCGGAGGAGCAGCATCAGCAGCAGCAGCAGCAGCAGCAGGCTAACCAGGACGCCATGGATTGCTCTCAAGCCATGCAGGTTTATCCGGCAAGCCTCTACAGCATGGCACCTCCTGGATTCATGGACGAATTCATCCCGCAGGGCTATGATGCGCACGGCCCGGCTGGAACGTACGGCTCGATGCCTGGGTACTTTTGATCTGGCGATCAACAGTTGGGCGACTACAAGACGACGACATTAGTCGACAATGCTCATCAACAGTCCACGCGGGACGGTCTAAACGACCATGAACAGATGACCCAATGCAGGAAGGCATGCGACTGAAGTATGCACGGCATCGACTGAACTAGCTGCACGTCATGGTCACTGCTCAGCTGTCAACGTGCCATGACATGCGTTTCAGGAACGCGACCCGGCGCTGCGTCACCCACGATGTCGGCGATCCTGACCTGTCGGCAAGCAGAGTTTCTGGCTGCAGTAAGGGTCCAAGACCACGACTAATCAGCGCCAAAACCAAACCGAGACCGATGTCCTGCGCCACGGTCCCAAGAGACGCGCCGAGCTGGTCGTTGGTGGGGGATGGCGCAAACAAGCGGCAATTAGACGCGACGGATGAGAATGCGGGTACCGTTGACACAGCCCATTGATGAGTTGGTCGATGTATTTCACGTCCCGCCGGGATCATAGATTGCATACGCTTCTACAACAGGAGAGCTAAGGCTGTGTGATACTGATGGAGTAACACTTACGATTTATGACTTTGTGATTGGGTGCTGATTAGCACTCATCAGGAACAGAAAGGCAGCCTCTCGACGTTTATTGTAAATTCGTCAGTGTGATATGCCGCGTGTATCAAAATGTACCATATTAAAAAATTGAAGGATACTATAAAATTATCATTCATTCCGTGACTACAGTGACACCCAGATGTATCATGATCCAACTCCATCCAGTCTGTATTGCAGGTTCCGAAAGAAAGTCACGACTGCGATTGCACATAATGCATCATCAAAACCACTTCACTGAAATTTGCTCAAGCTGCCTATGACCACCTATTTCAAGAAAAGAATGTTTTCGGCCGCTCCAGAACTTCTCCATCCAGAATAATGTCAACCTTTTCATTGTAAAAGCACAGTAGACCGGCAATCCCCGCGCTCTCCTGAGTCGGAAGCCTGTAGTACCATACCAAGTCGCTGTACTCTGTGCCATCTACAACAACATTGTAGTACTCGGCATCGCCCTTGTAGGGGCACTTTGTGATGAGCTTGCTTTGTCGCAACGCTGACTGATCAACCGACGCTAAGGGGAGGTAGTATCGCGTAGGCAACCCAGTTTCCAGCAAATGAACGGCGAAGTCGGTCTTGGCGACGGTCTTTCCGGCGACCTTGATCTCTACTGGTCGCGTCGAAGGGAGAATATCGATGCGCTTGTAGGGATCCTTGGGGTGGACGTATATGGGCGTTTCTTCCTCGAGCCACTGGTCTGAAAATTGATGTCGTGGTTTTGTCAGTTCCGAAGGTACGTGGCGGAAATTACGGAACTTCCGATGTGGCTGAGACACTTACCCATACTACCGAACTCGAGCCTTACCAGACCCTTTAGGGCACCGCTGATCTCTCCATTGTCGGAAAATCTTAAAGCCCGGTCGGTGGTGAAGTCGTTTTCACCGTCCCGGCCAGGAACGGTGACTTCAACGACTGCCGCAGCGGCTTGAATTGCGTCGCCGGTAGACTGAATGTCTTGCTTGTCTTTCCAACGGCAGTTCCGCAGTTCTGTTATAGGTACATAGTACTGCGGATATGCAACGTGTTCCCAAATATGGACTGCTTTGGTGGTATCAACGACGCATGTGCTGTTTAGGATGACTCGGACTCGACGGGCGGTGGGTTTAGTTTTGTGAGGGCCATTCGTGAGGAGATGTCTCGCGAGCTCAGGGAGACTAAGGAGGTTGGCGTTATTTTAGTTTGTAAGGATTATACAGATGACTCGTCTGTCCTTGGTCTATGGTTTCGAGACCCTGCCATGGTTTTTGACGGGCGACCAAACTGATGGAATGAGATGCATTGCCGCTGACATCAAGAGTGACTTACTCGGCTCGGAACTGACCAGGTTTGGACATTTTACCCACTTTCGGTACTCTCTCCCGGTGCGCTTGATTGTGTTGGGTTGAGTTACGAAAAAGCAATTGGACATGGACGTTTGCTTTTGGCAAGATGAGCTATGAGAATGCCATCTTGTCTTGCCCTGGTGTCCATGAACCCCGCGCTTCTCCCCATTGTGACGTCTGCCACTTTACGTCAGCATTTCTTGGTCCGCTTGGTCCGGACAAAGCGCCGGGGTGCTCCGTAACTCAAGGCCCCACATCTCCGGTAGTTGATCTTTTGCAACGCTTAGTCCCGGCGGGGAGGAGCTACATGCAAGTTACCGTACTTTTCTAGATACGCGTGTTTTCTTTTCACTCTTCTGATTTGGAATACTGTGAATTCTTGGTCCTTGCGTGATGCATCCATCTTGGTAGGCCCGACTGCTGCAAGTTGAGGTCTCGGCCGTTTGAATTATCGCTGAATACTATTCTCCCACCAAATTTGCACTGCATGTGACGAGGTAGCAGTGTGTGCCATCCCATCAATTACCTATGTGAACCCCAACAAGCGGCTCATAAATTGAACGGAATTAACAGCCTAATCTAGCCGGGCATTACCAAAGCCTAGAATCTTCCTTGAGACTTCGTGGCTGAGACATACAGGAGATGTGGTTGCAACGGTTGAGAATGCCAGCCTCCAGGTAAGTATATATCCGGGCAGACCGCTCCGAGAAGTGGGGGGATGCATGAACCAGAGCCATCCGAGACAATCTCGAAGCCACCAATTTGCGTCAAGGGCATAACATTTTCCACTGAGCTGGCGCCACAAGTCATTCTCAGCCTTATTTTTGTGGTTTCATGCATCATCAATCCCTTAACCCCTTTTCACTGAAACTTGGGTAAAATGACGGAGCTTAAGACAACGTCGCGACCGTTCCGAGCTAGTTTCGTCGGCTGGTCGGCCTAGTGGGCCCCCGATATACCGGGGAAACAATGGCCTACGACCGGTCCGTCAAAACAAACTTAGCCTTCATTCCTGCCTTTTGGATGCAAACGAATCAAAGGTGATCCTTGAATTACCTTATTACATGAAAAAGACGAGGGTTTTAGCATACAGCATCGTGGTGCGTTCTACCTTTCTTAAACGTGATGAATGAAATTTGAAGAATTGCCAAAAGGACTGAGCAAAAATGGATTGTCCTCAACAGGTTCTTTGTGATTGAGTTCCTGTCCAAAACATGTGCAAAGTTTACACTATTTCTACGAGTCAAAACGCGTCAAGTGCGCTTGAATTTTACAAGTCGATCGTGCTATCCAGAACACACGAAAATGAATTGTGGGAATGCCTCAGTCGTACACAGGAGTAGATGACAAAGTGCAAATACTTCACAACAATCTAGAAATTTTCTGGTCTACTAAACCTTGCAAAGGCGACCGTCACTCCTTTCCTCCCAGCCCTCATTTCCCACACAAGGTTTACACCATAGAACATCTTTGGGGTCGATGCTTCGCTTGATTTTGGATAGTCGCGGGTAGTTCGCGCCCCAGAATGCCTGCTGCCAGTTCTTCTCAAACGGAAATCCCTACTCGAATCGTTAGCAGAAGCTATGATCTGGATGTTTACACGTGTAATGTGATTTCACCATCGGTTACGAAAACTTACTTCGTTGATGTATGATCCTCCATCGGGCGTTAGTTGGCGAAGAGATTCGAACCTAGCATCTAGAATCTCTCTAGCTTTCTCTCCAGCTGCTGGATCCCATGGTTCGTATCCCCAACCCTGCCAGGTAACTGCTCATTGTCAGTGACTTGTCTCACAGGTAGCCTTAGTAGACCTTGAGACTTTTCTGTTTGAGTACGCACGTGCATGAATATATGTCTTGCGCCAGGCCGGGTGAACAGAATTTCCTCCGCCCCGCGGCTTGGCTTCATTGACACCCTTTCCAGCGACCAGGTAGGTTCCCAACCAACCATCGTTGAGAAGAATTGGCTCCAGTGCACTCTTCAGTGCGTCCAGGTCATTGGTCAAAGTCTTCTTGTCCAGCAGTCGCGAAATGAGATAGACGGAGCCGCCGGCTTGACCATCATCAAAGTTCTCGGCATACCAGGCTGCAAATGAGTCATACGGTTGAGTCAGAATGAGCAAATTGACCTGTCCGGGCCATCGCTCCTGGATGGTTTTGTTGAGTGGTTGGAAGATTTCATTGATCTTGTTCGTATCTTGGGTGTCTAGGATAATTGTCTTGCCCATCAGACCGGCGACTCGCTCTGGAAGACCAGGTATTGGAATCGGCGGTGTTGAGTTAACAGTTGCCATGAGGTAGCCTGACAAGCCGGAGTCCGAAAGGTAAGGGAGCTGAGAAGCGCCCCAAGTGGCGAGGTCCATGGTAAAGGGGGCTTCGGGGACTGAGAAGGCCATGAATAAAACCATGGTGAGCTTCTTCTCAGGATGCGTTTTGACCGTAATGGAAGTGACAACCCCGAAAGTCGATCCTCCTCCCTGACATTGCGTTAGTTGGTGCACAATCAAGACTCCCGCAGACTAAGACTTACACCTCGCATGGCCCAGAACAAGTCGGCGTTTTGATCTTCATTTACAGTGATAATATCGCCGCCGGGGGTGACAACGTCCATCTGAAGCACGTTGTCTGCCGCGAGACCATAGTGCGGTGCCAAGATCGAGTGGCCGCCGCCCGTCACAAAGCCACCCTGCGAAACGGTCTTACCTCCGCCCCCAACGACAATGCGATTGTGTTGGCTTGCTACAGCATATACATCGACCATCTTCGCTCCGGCTGCGGCGGTGATGGCATCTCCGGGTATGACCTTTCCTGATCCAGCAAGCTTGAACTGGCCCTCGTGGTAATTGATATTGTTGAGGTGGTGAGTCCAGATGGAAAGTGAGCCTGGCGCAATGGAACGCCCGAGGTAATCATGCCCACTGCTCTTGACGACTAGACGAACCTGGTTCTTCCGCGCTGTGCAGAAGTCTCTGTCAGCCAAACTTGTTGTTTTCGTGTCGTTAAATGCACTCACCAAAATCGACGGCAGCCTTGACATGCTTCGCCGTGGTGACGTTGACAACATAGGACGGATAGCCTGCTCCGCTGCAAGGGAAGCCATCAAGAGGAACACAGGTATAGTTGGTCCAATTGTCCCACATCACTGAGATGGGGTCTTCAGCATGGAATTCAAAGGTTCTCCAAGCCGGCAGAAGGTTGGGGCATTGGTCTGCACTGTAGTTCGGCTGGTCCGGGTGACAAACGCCGCCAGGAAGAAGTGGCCTGAGGAGCCGTCCATCGACCGCCTTATTCAGGCGAGACCAATCATTGCTTGAGGGCCATGATGAAGTGCCTGGAAAGGCCTTGCACTCCGATGGGGCAGGTGTTGCCTGTACCAAAGCAGATGCGCAAAGCGCAAAGAGGAACTTGGAATAAATCATGCTGCGTGTTGAGGAGTCCGCCAACCACCGGTCTTTGGAAGCATAGGTAATCAATGTGAACAGCTTTCTATACATACTTTATCTATGTCTGTTGCGGTCATAGTACTTGATCCGATTCCAATTGTAACGAGAACGCCAAGGCAGAGACCTCGTATAGTCGTGCCCGATCCTTCGGTGTGCAAGGGCGCAGCAAGGCGGCAATCTACACCACATCGAAAGATGTCTTGGCTGACCAGCCAATCACCATAGCCTGTATTTTTCTCATCAAATCAACTAGTAAGCGATGGATTTCTTTCGACAAGATTGTTGTGGATGGTACGGAAGAGCGAGCCGAAGCGCTGATTTCAGGCTATGTGCTGCGAAACAGCTGTAAGCCCTCCTGGACCGACGGTGCCGTTCCCGTAGTTCCCGCAGGATTACTCCTGAAGGATTCTCAACGCAGCCTTACGCGGGTTGTCGAAGGATTTCACGCGCTAGTTTCGGCGTGTATCTTATTACTGAATGCAGTCAGCCATAGAAGAGCTGTAGGAGCGAAAGACCCTTTCGGCAAGATGAGGCCCATCAATGTCCCGAATCGAACATCAGTCATGTTGCTGGGAGCTGTGCGTCAGGATTGAAGGATGTTTTCCGGCCAGAGGCACGTCGGAGACTGTTTGCAGTGCTCAATTCTGTCTTCAGAAAAATTCAAAATTTGTCTAGTTTTGTAACGTTTGTGTCGTTTGATAACATGGAGGTCGATGCAAGAGATACATTGGAAATTTCCACTCCACCTCAGCTTAGTGTGGGCAGAAAAATGAACAAAACTCGCGATACTCCTATCAACGGTCATTTCGAAGAGGAGACTAGGAATTCTCAGAAGGAACTTGGAAACCAGGGAACTGGAGTGGCTGAGACGACGACCGGCGAAGACTTTGTAGAGTCGCAGGCTCATCGATATGCAACACAACGAGAGCTGGCTCTTCTATCAACGGTCTTCACTATTGCAACCTTCATGATAGCCATCGATGGAAGTATCCTAGGTAAGCTTCTCCGGTCTGCAGTTTCCTGGAGGTCCTCAAACTCACCATCTCCAGCGACGGCGATTCCCAAGATAACGAGTGATTTCCATCGACTCAATGACGTGCCATGGTACGGTAGCGCGTACCTGTTCACAGAAATGGCATTCCAACCTACATTTGGTCGCCTGTACACCTTGTTCAACGCCAGAATTCTCTATCTGACCTCCGTCATCATTTGTAAGTGAAAATAGCAGCTGGTATGCCCCATGTTAAAGTTACTAAAGCTTTCCGTGATTCCCTGAAGTCGAAGCAGGCTCGATTCTCTGCGCTGCCTCGCCAGATTCTGCGGCATTGATCACCGGTAGAGTGATTTCCGGCATAGGAGCCGCCGGCTTGCTTTGTGGAAGTTTATCGGTTTACGGCACATCGGTTCCTCTGCGAGCTAGGCCGTTCGGAATGGCCCTCGTCACCAGCATGTACGGCGTCGCTGGAGTCCTGGGTCCGACTCTTGGAGGACTCATCACAGATACGCCTCGACTTACCTGGAGATTCTGCTTCTGGTAAGGTGCCCCCTAATGATCTTCTCTGACAAAACTCTGACAAAATTCTGACTGAAAACAGGATCAACCTACGTGAGTGATGAAGGTGTCTGGAGGAGCATCCGACCAAGATTACCTGACAGTCTGCTTAGCGTTTGGGGCGGTAACTTTTGGAATCGCGTACAAGATCTTGAGAGCGAGAACACCAATATACGGGCGACTGTCGTTGCGCCAAAAGCTGAAGAAACTCGATCTTCTTGGCGGATTTCTTCTCATTGCCGGCCTAATCACCCTGTTCTTTGCTCTTCAGTGGGGCGGGACCAAGTATCCCTGGTCTGACCCTAGGGTCTACGTATGCCTCGTCTTATTTGGAGTTTTCATCACAGCTTTCGGCTTGCTACAGGCAAGAAAGAAAGAAGAGTAAGTTCAATATTCAGGCGGAGTTCTCGATGCTGTTTTCATCAGGAGCTGACCGGGCAAACCCCCGAACCCAGGGCCACCATCCCTATGCGGATCCTCTCGCAGCAAACGGTGGCCATCAGCTGCATCTTCAACATGCTGATGTCTATGGCACATAATACGCACATGTATTATTTGGCGTTTTACTTTCAAGCAGTCCTAGGCACCAATGCCGTGACATCCGGCATCCGTTGTCTCGCGTACGGAATTCCGTGCAGCATCGCCATCATCGTCACAGGAGCGTGCGTCAGCTCAAAAGGCTACTACGTCCCTTTCATGTGGCTCGGGTCCAGCGTCTTCATCTCCGGCTGCGTTCTTCTCCAGAGACTTGATAGAGAGTCGTCAGTGGGGCAGTGGATTGGCTTTCAAATCCTCAGCGGGGCGGGCATCGGCCTCGCGGAACAGGTCCCCTTTATCGCGGTGCAGGTCGTTCTTCCCGACAGCGACATGCCCACAGCGTGTGCCATGGTGGTTTTCCATCGCTTGCTAGGTGGTGCAGTGGGACTTAGCATAGCTTCCAACCTCTTCTCCCAGGAGCTGTACCGTCGGCTGGCGGGAGCGCCGGGAGGGGTCCATGTCAAAGCAATACAAGACGCGGGCGCATCGGATTTGGCGAAGGCGGTTCCCGCAGCTGTTTTGCCGTTCGTACAGAAGGCGTTCAGCTTCGCCATCTCGAGGGCTTTCATCTTGCCAATCGTTGTAGCTGGCACTTCCTTGGTGCTCAGCTTTGGCATGCAGAGACGATGGATTCCAGACGATCGGGTGCAACCATCTCCAGAGGGTCAAGAAGCCGGCACCGGCGACCCAGTTGCAACTCCGCCGTTGGAGCAGGGAAGGAATGAAAAGACTGTATAGATATGAAAAGGCTTCCTATAGTACGCAGCATTAACACCAGGCCTTATACAGGGCTATACATTTACTTATCGTTGAGAAGTTGCAATCGTTCTGCTGGAATCAGTGCCTGAAATTGCAGACATCATGTCAATTTTACTCTTCAGTGGTGTAGGCTTCAACGTCTACAAGGGCCGCCCTAGAGTCGTACCCAGCTTCAGCATGCTCTCTCATCTGATGATTCGGCTTGGCGACATTCTGCACTACGAGGTACCTAAGCACGCGTGCTAAGGTGAGGTACCTCAGTGTAATCTTGCAAGGTGGCCCAAGGGAGGGGGCCGCTGGAGCAGCACCCGAAACAGGCGCTGGACGGGAGCCTTGGAATGTATGGGCCCTCTAAGCCAGGCCCTGGAGCTCCTGAAGCAACCCCTGAAGGCAAATTTGTGACGATGTTCGCATTTTGACATGATGTCTTTGCATTGACATGGTGCAAGTCGTCAGTGTGTGGAAAACTCCAGAGACTTCATGTTAGTGGAATACATGGTAATGTGACCCCCAAAGGTAGCGGTCATGAAGCCAATCCTTTTCGTTATGATGGTAAAATATTGACGCCCCGATACCCGTCACTTGAGATGTTCTTCAGCAAAAGAATCTACCTCACTTGCACTTCGGGTTAAGATCAAGAAGCGTGCCTGGATAGGTATGTGTAACGGATATGGTTGATAGCAAGGAAGGCTAACACTGAACATCAATCATGAGAAACGACAAGCGACTACGACTACTATAAGACAATTGAGACGCCAAAATGAGTACACCGTCCACTTCACGTCGCGTCTATCAACGTCTTTAATACTGAAGAAGCGCGATGAAGACAGTCTGCCCAAGCAACCACCTCTTCTTTCCCAGTGACGACAGAGAAATGGGCTCTATAGATTGAAATGTTAGCTTCCTTCACAACACGGAGGTATTCCAGCAAGAAAGTCACTTACCCTGCATCGGTAACATAGTACGTCATCCAAAACCTCTTCGGGTTCTGCATGATAAAGCAAGACTCGGGAGATAGCCCGTCGGTGTTCGAGAACATCTGGTTAGGCTCGACAGTCTGCTCATAAAGCGGATTCTTGAAGAGAGCAGGCACTTCTTCGCCCTCTTCTGCGCAGAGCTCAAGGGCCCTGAGCGTCCGCTGGTAACAGCGGCCCGCCGTAAACGCCTCCTTGATGACCTGGTTACGAGCATTGGCAGCCTCGACCATCAACTCGAAGCGCTTCCGCGCTGGCACACTTTCGTCGTCTGCGACGATGCAAAAGTTTGCAGTAATTGGTGTGTTGACTTGCACAATGTCCGGTCGTCCCTTGTGGTAGTGTGACATTGAGACGGCCTCCCAGGACTGGGCATTGTAGCCGTAGTAATAGTAGTTGGCAAGCAGACCCATCAGATCATAGAGGCCTTTGATGGGGAGGTGTCGGTCGAGGAGGACGTCCTTTCCAAAGTCGGAGAGCACGATGTCTCTGTATCCAAACTTTGAGATGTCCTTCTCGAAACGGTGTCGCACATGTAGGATGCGCTCGTCCAAGGCCGGCGTTGTCTTGAGGGTAAACTCTCTAGGCGCGGCGACGACTCCATTGGCGTGTCCGTTGACCTCTCTCGGGGGCTTGTAGGTCATGATACCTTCAACAATGGCAGTTTGCATTGCGAAGAGAGTCATCGCCTATGTGCGGTCAGAAAACTTTGCTTCAAAGTAGATCACTAACAAACTTACGTCAATCATCGTGTGCTCGACGTATGTGCCAGAAGTTGCGTTTTTGCACACTACAAATGCGATGGACTTGTCAACCCATCGATTGAACCCATTGAGCATCATCATGTTGTTGATTCTATCCTCTGCATGCGCAGGCTCCGTGTCATCGAGACAGACGAGGAAAGCAGAAGCCTCTACCATGTCTATGGTCTCCTTATTGACACTATCAAGCTCAATCAGGGATCGTCGACTCTGTTTTGCATCAATTAGTTCCACGATCACTCATTGCGTATGCGCAAAACTTACCTCCGCCCATGAAGTGCGATCGTCGGTGCCAAGGATGCTTGTCCAGTTGTCGACAATGTCTTGCTGAGCTAGGAGAGCGTTAAAGATCTTGGTTAATGCTTCGACGGGAACATTGTGGTCTCCGTCCATAAGCTCAACCTTGTAGATGTGTCCGCGATAGAGCACCGCCATGTAGTCGTTGCCAGGGAATTTGGTCATTTGATCCAACGGAACACCAGGCAATCGAGCCGTGTTGAAGATATACTGCCAAAGATCGGTGCAGTTGGCCGTGAACATATACGCCATGGGCTCCCATCGGTCTGATTCGAGGTCCCGCTTGGCTTGGAAGGCGATGCTTGCAATCATGGCTGCTCGCTCAGCTTGAGTGTGGCCCATGTCTCCGAGAGGATGGAATGCCATGAAGTTGTTGAAAGGTGCGAGTGGCATGCGTCTCTGCAGGTACATGCTCTGAAGGAAGTACTTCTCCTGCCAGTTCTCTATTGCGGGGTCGTGAGCCTGCTCATGAAGACGACGGTAGAACTCCCGGCCTATGCTGTCCGGCTTCCTGAATTCCACCACATCGTCCTCGATAGTCTTGAAATCCTCGGTGGAAAAGAACAGTCTTGACTTCTCCAAGTAGTCATCGAACATGACGTCAAAGTCAACGAGAGGCATCTTTTGAAGTGTCTTGGAGGCTCGACAGCAGTGAAAGTCGTGGTTGGCACCGGCTGCTATACTCTCGATGGCCAAATCCGATACCTGGTCGGTCGTGGGGGTATCGTCCGTCTCCGCGACAGCCGCCTCTGCGTCTTTGGGAACGAGCTTTGACCTGAGAATGATGACCTTGGCCAGACTCAAGATGTTGACAGCATCGAGAACTTCAGATGTCTGAAGTGTCGCCTGGAAGGTGCGAGAGAGAAAGTTCTTCAACTCGATCGCAACAAGAGAGTCGAGACCGAAACTCTCCATCGAAACGTCCGGACTGATTTCTTCAACTGCAACGGCAGTGAACATGGCAAACCGCTGGCAAATGCCGCTGACCACAATGTTCTTGACTTCCTCGGGCGAAGAGGCTTGTTGAAGCAGCTTTCCAACGTCAGTGGCGGCTTCCTTTGTCGGCTCTCCCTCTTTCTCCAGGTAGGGAATCTGGCTGAAAAAGGGATTGGCAAGAGCCATCTCGTCATGGACCGCCTCCATCGACTTTCGATCAAAACCAAGAATCAGCTGGTGGAGATCGTCCTCGTTTGCCTGCGCGCTCATGGCGTAGGTCAAAACGGCGAAGACTTCATCAAACGACATGAGGACTGATCCACGTCTCATAGCGTCTTGCTGCGCAGGAGGCAACGAGGTAATGGCCAATGATCCGTCGACCGCACCGAGGTTCAAAGCGATATATCCGCAGCTCGACCCCTTTTTGCTCTGGGCAAAAGCATCTTGGAAGGCGTTGCCGACAGCGTAGTTTGATTGCCCAGACTTTCCCAGGATTGCGGTGATGGATGACAGCATAATGAAGAAGTCCAAGGAATCAGACGCATTGAAGGCGGCGTCGAGGTTCTGAGTGCCCTGTACCTTGGGCTTGATTGAGGTCATGTAGTCGTCGTGAGACATGATCTCAAAAGGATGGTCCTATAGTAGAGATAGAGTGAGCTGCGCTGTGTAAGGTGTTGGATCAATAACCGAGACTTACCCTCAAAACCATTCCTGCATGGATGACTCCTCTCACTGGAGGAAGCTTCTCTGCACATTCGGCAGCGGCTGATTGTACTGACTCTTGATCCGTGACATCACAGCAGATGATGTGTAGCTCCGCTCCTGTGGCTCGCAAATCTTCCTCGAATGCAAGCTGATCTTCCTCCTGAAGCTTGCGACGAGACAACGTTACCACATGTCCCGCACCATGAGCGGCTAGGAACTTGGCAATCCTTCGCCCAAGATCCCCGAGGCCACCAGAGATGATGTATGTGCCATTGCTGTTCAACCGGAGAGGTGGAGGACGTGCCAGTGTCAATTTGACTTGCGTCTGCTCGTCGCAGACAAGAACGACCTTGCCGGTGTGTTTTCTTGAGTGGATCAGACGGAAAGCATCCTCGATATTGGTCATCGGCATAGCCGTTATGGGTGCCACAGGCTTCAAGGTGCCATCCGCAAATAATGATAGTACTTTGTCAAGTGTTTCTCGCATCTTGTTCGGCTTGAGCCGGGCCAAGACCGTCAAATCTACAGCAGCAAAAGTGACACTGTTGTCGAAAGGAACCATGCTGATCTCGTTTTTCCGATAAATGTCAGACTTTCCGATTTCGACAAAGGTTCCCAGAGGTGCAAGAACAGCAAACGAGTCATGGAGTGATTCTCCCGACAATGAGTTCAAGACGCAGTTCACACCCTTGCCTTGGGTAAGTCGCATAATGCCCTGCTTGAATGTCCGAAGCCTAGACGAGAAGATGTGGTCTGGCGGGATGTTAAAAGTGTCAATGAGCAATTGACGCTTCGCATTGCTACCCACGGTGCAGAAGATATCGGCTCCAATACTTTGGGCAAGTTGAATAGCTGCTTGACCGACACCGCCTGAAGCGGCGTGGATCAGGATGGTGTCTCCACGCTCGAGGCGAGCGACCTCCACGATGCAGTGGTATGCGGTGCAGAAAATGACAGGAATAGACGCACCCACGGAGTAGGGCATGTTCTCTGGAAGGTGACAGCTGAAGTTTCCATCGATCCTTGGGTGACTAGAGAAGGGCTCCGCGAAGATCCCGCAGACACGATCACCGACGCGGAACTTGTCCTCGATGGCGGAGCCCACCTTGCGAACAATACCGGCACACTCACCAGCCATGGTGACGCCCGGGATCATCTGACCCATCGCGATGAAGACATCTTTAAAGTTGACTCCGTATGCCCTTGCCTCAAGCTCAACTTCAAATGGCTCTAGGGGCTTTGATAGCGTGTCGTCGTCGACAAACCGGAGACTGCTGAGCAGTCCTGGCGTCTCAACCTCGAGCTT